TGTATACGCGGAAAATCCACCAAGTACGTGAAACTCGACGCTTTCAAAGATTTCCTGTTTTATTAAATGTGGTTATGCTATAATTAGATTTTTTTATGTTTTAAAACGATTAATTTTATCTTTTTATAATTACTCATCGTTAACAACAAAATATTTAAATAGGTACGAATTTTTGGGTATTTTAGTCACATTTATGAATGATATAATAATTCGTAGAAAAAATATACACGTTTATTTTATTTGATATTAAGTATTACTAAGAAAAAACTTATTCAATATAAGTAGAATAGGAAGGCTTTCACGGTCGGTTTTAATTAAAGTAAAACTAGAACTAACACTACCACTATCACTAGAACTAACACTAGACCTAGAACTAGAAACATTCGGTTTTAGCCGTCTTAAGAGACGGACGGCTAAATCCGAATGTTTCTAGTTCTAAATCTAGTGTTAGTTCTAGTTTTAGTTCAATAATAATATACAAGAATCTAGAACTGAATAACAAGTAATAAATATAAGTCTGAAGACGCACGGCTAAACCCGAAACTTTGTACTTCTAGGTCTAGAGTTAGTTCTAGTTTTACACTAAAACTGTCGTTAGAACTAACACTGTCACTAGAACTAACACTAGATCTAGAACTAAAAACATTCGGATTCTAGTTCTAGTTTACTTCAATGAAAAACATACAACTGGCTAACGCTGAATAACAATTATTTAGTCCATTCTAACGAGGTCTGTCGATTCTATCGAGGTTTTACTGTAATAAGTAGTCTTATTTTTGTTTTTTGAAAATATTTTTCACGTTTCGGATACCATGTTGTAAACTTCCTTCAAAAACAAGTTCGAAGTGTCATCCGAAACATTAAACATTTTTTCAAAAACCGCACGTCTTAACCCGAAAGTTTCTAGTTCTAGTGATAGTGCTAGTGTTAGTTCTAGTTATAGTTTAATAAAGCTTCTAATTCCTTAATAAAGTTTTTTTTTTAAATTAATTTGATGTGATATCAAATTAATGGAACATCCTGTAGTTTTCGCAAAGTTTTTAGAGGCCCCATTTTTAGCGCCCCGCTGGTTTGAGTTTTTAGTTACCAGGGTCATCTATTAATAGTGACTTCTGTAAACTTAGTTTAGTTTAACGCGAGAGCTTATGCTGTGTTTACATTTTCTCTTCACCAGTTGCGTATGAAACGCTAAATCTACTACGCGATGCGGACGCGAACTAATTTTGAGAGGACGAATTTGACTCCTCTTTACACAAATTATTTTCCCATCTCAAAGTAAGTCAACTACATATAAAATTAAATATGTCCGCATCGTTATATATCTTGTTTACTTTAAACGGTGGGTGGAAAGAAACAACTCGAAAGTGTAAACACGGCGATTACGCTGGAATTCGACGGTTTTCTTCTCGATTTGTTGATGTAGAGTATGAATTAGTGGTGATTGTAGAGTATAGATAATGATTATGTTTGTTTTTTGTGCAAAATTATGTTAGGTTACGTATAGATTGAAAAAAAGAACGACTTGTCGCGCCTTGGGGTATCCATTCAAGGTTATCTTCGCTGTTAGAACCGTTAGGATAACATTCTCGGTTCGCAGGAATGTTAAATACCGTAGATGTTACGTTTCTCTTTAAGAAAATTTAAAGTTTCTCTTTATTTTTATTTAATGGCCAGAAAAATATTTAATGTATTTTTCTTATTTTTACATCATCAGCAGGAAATGATTGTTTTTCCGTTTAAAAGTGGCTTTCTAAGCGCCTACTTACTCAGGTGCATTCCAGCGCGCACAACAAAATCTACAAGTCTTTATTTGTTTTATAATTTTATTGTATTTTTTGTATCAAAAGTTTCTCACTCACTTTGTTCTATTTTTTAATGTTTCACTTAGATGAGAGGAGAGACTTACGATGTTTTTGATACGTTCTAAAACAACTCGGCGCAACCACTGTCTCGCAGATCTCTATACTGCGACGCACGTAGCAAAATTGAGTCGAGATCAGCCGGAATTACACGAACTCCAACTGATGCCGGCGTCCTGCAGGTCAACCAAGTTAAGAACGGCCACAGGAATTTTACTCAACTATAATTTTCAATGCAGCTAAAAAGTTTGTATTAATTTCTTTAAATACACAACTTTGAATTCAGCGAGCTTTTAAACTAATCTTGTTGTTAATGGTAGAACTTGAGATCGGGAGATCTTATTACAATGTGGTTAGGATCTGCACAAAGTTACATTAACTGGTTAGGTTTTGGTTTGTATTTCATATAAATCGATCTAGTAGTTTCAAACTTGTTAACGATATAGTTGTTACGAATATTCCTAGTATTAAGTTTCTGGGTGGCCGTTATATACAGGAGGACTAAAATACTCACTCCCTAAGTGGTCATTTCAAAGTTTTTAATAGTTAATAGAATTTGTGGGTAGAGTAGAACAGATTAGGGTACATTGCGGTTACATTTAAATTCTGCTCCTGAATCAATGAAGAAACTTAAGCGTCCTTGGCAGGAAGCAACGATGAATGTATGTAACAAGTTGTTCCACAAACAATTAAGTTTGAACATGTTTTGTGTGCAATTGTTATACATGGTGTTCTCTTCAAACAATTCGGAAATACTTTATTCTGACAGCTGTTTAGGTTTTTCATCTCAGTAGTAAATCTCGAAAGGTTCTATCTTTAATTTCTACATACATACATTCTTGCATTAATATACATATATTTTCTACAATATAACTTGCCAAGAAAGCTAGATTAACCATGATGACCGTTTCGAACTATCTTATATCTGCATAAAACATCGAACGTAGTAGACGAAGCAGTTAATATTTCGAGCACGATCGTTCGGAATTGTTCACGAGCATGTCGCCTATAAAATCAGCGAGTCGACAAAAAATAAACTACAATAAAAATAAACATAGCGTGGTGTAATAAATAGGAGCAGCGACGTGGCGTATTCAAATTCGAACTTCCGAAACGTCTTCTGGATTAAAGCCAAACGTAGCCAAGCATCGTCAACCAGAAAAAAATGTTTCTTTTAAGAGAATTTCAGAAAAAAACCGCAGCACTCTCGTAAAAAGAAGGAGTTCCCATCACCATCATCAAACAAAACGTTTACCGTTCGTCGATTCGTGTAGTTGCCATCGTCAGAGGTCAATACGCTTTTGTGACGGTCCCTTTTATTAATAGGCTCTCGACCGCTCGCCCAATCGGAGCAGCTTAATTGATTCGACGGTTTCAAAGAGCTTGCGTTATCTGGCTGAGGCGGTATGGTTATTCAAAAGGATGAAAAATTGGCTTCGAATTTGCAACGGAAAAGGAAAAATAAAATATTATCAATTTCAATTTTTATGTTTACGGTGAGCACGTGAATTCTTATCATTTGGAAAAGGAAGAGTGTCGTGAAATCTTTTCCGGATGTTCCCACGCAATGTTACTATTTCTACTATCAAATTTTGCTCTTCTAATTAATGAACTGTTTAGGAAAAAATAAAATAAAATAATAGAGTACAGAATGTTTCTAGTTCTAGGTCTAGTGTTGGTTCTAGTTTTACACTATCTGTTTTACACTGTTACTAGAACTAACGCTATACCTACAACTAGAATCATTCGGGTTTAGCCGCACGTCTCTTAAGACGGCTAAACCTGAATGTTTCTAATTCTAGGTCTAGTGCTAGTTCTAGTGACAGTGTTAGCGTAAAACTAGAACTACATTAGACCTAGAACTAGAATCATTCGGGTTTAGCCGCACGTCTCTTAAGACGGCTAAAACCGAATGTTTCTAGTTCTAGGTCTAATGTTAGTTCTAGGTCTAGTGTTAGTTCTAGTTTTACACTAGCTGTTTTACATTGTTACTAGAACTAACGCTATACCTACAACTAGAATCATTCGGGTTTAGCCGTACGTCTCTTAAGACGGCTAAACTCGAATGTTTCTAGTTCTAGGTCTAGTGCTAGTTATAGTGACAGTGTTAACGTAAAACTGGAACTAACATTATACCTACAACTAGAATCATTCGAGTTTAGCCGCACGTCTCTTAAGGCGGCTAAACCTGAATGTTTCTAATTCTAGGTCTAGTGCTAGTTCTAGTGGCAGTGTTAGTGTAAAACTAGAACTAACACTATACCTAGACCTAGAAACATTCGGGTTTAGCCGCACGTCTCTCAAGACGCCTAAACCCGAATGATTCTAATTGTAGTTCTAGTGTTAGTTCTAATTTTACTACAATGAAAAATATACAACTATTTAACGCTGAATAACAACTAATCCATTCTAACGAGGTTCGTTATATCGAGGTTTTACTGTAAAAAGTAGTCTTATTTTCAAATGAATTTTAAGATGATATCGTGAGTGCAAAAATGCGTTAAATCTCCTACACGAACTGAAGGATAGCATCTGGTAATCATAACCCAAGACAGTTACTGCAAAACATACATTACATCTTTTCTATATTTAGAAATAAAAGTTTATTACGCTTTATGATAAAAACTGTATAATAGTGGTCGAGTTGTTTCAATCTCTATCTTCATTATTTATTAAATGATTATAATAATAAAATATAAATGATGTATATTTTAATCTTAAAATTCCTAGAGTTAGCCTTTATTGATAATTTTCTAACAAGATAGTAGAAAGTAATATAAAAAATGATATTTGACCCATATAAACAAGTATTTTATCTCTTTTAGATAACGGTGTAAGTCGTTTTAGTTTCATTCATACGATTTCATTGAATTAACTACGTAAACAATAACTTTAACGTACTTGATACGATAAACTAAAAAGAATTTTTCGGATCGATTCTCAGTAAAATGACATCTCATGACGTGGTATTGGAGACTCTAGAGCTCCGTTAATCCCAAGAATGCGGTCAGTGCCGGAGCATTTAATTTTAATTAACCGTGTAATGCGACGTGGTGCGGTTTCCTGAACTATATATGTCGTTTGAAACGTGTTTTAGAAATAAAGTAAAACAATTCTTATCTTTAAAAAAAAATAACTTACCTCTAAGTACTTGAACGTTATCGCCGATTTGAAAATTGATAATGACACCTGGATTAACATGAAAATGGACGATGTGTTCGTGAGTCTGATTCCCACTCGAGTAGGAAGAGCTACTTCCGCTTTCGTTTCCTCTATTTCCGCTAACTCCTTGAATCGTTGAGTTTTGTGGTTGAAATCCCGGTCCGATACAAAAACTCGCAGGGGAAGTTGACCCACCGCCGTTTCTATTAGAATTTCCATCAACATCACTGGATGTGTAACAATGATGATGTCTGGAAGGTCCGTAATGCGCGTGATAATGCGAATGGTAGGATCTTCCGCTTCGGCTATAAGGCTGAGCCGGCTCTGCCATATCCAGGTCTTCCTTAACTTTCACCATGTGGCTATAGGAAGATGCGGAAATATCTGGAACAAAGAGATTTGATTTGATTGATTTTTTTTTATATAAATGAAATGTATTGCAGCATCTTTCAACATCGTAGAAGAATCCTCGCAAACATCCTTGCGCCACTGACATTTTCAGAGGCTCATCTCAAGATGGACCGAACAAACTCGATTTGCAGTACTCCTTTCACCACAACGTCAATGGTTTCAACGACTTTCCGGATTCCTCTTCAAAATTGCACAATTTCTAATTACCTATCTACGAGATAGTTTGTAATAAGGAAATGGTTAAGATTACAAATTTTTTATGATATTATCTTTGTAATAGAATGTTAAATTGTATTAAAAATTACATTAAATAATCAATTCTTCTTCACAGTTACACTATCCGTAACTCAAAACGGGACAAGGTTATTCCGAATCCCATCGGTTTTATGTACTCTTGGTATAAAACCTTTCTTCCTTTTGTAACAGAGTAGAGAACGAGTGAATTTACGATGCTGTAACCATGGGACATCCCATACGCCGGGCATAAATCATCTCCAGGATGCAGTCGATCGACGTTTAAAGTGGTATACCTTCTCAATGTTTGATTTATTACGGATCATCGTCTAAGTAGACGTGGAAGGTTCTATTTCTGTTAGATCCGGTTTTATTCGTAGAGGTTAAAGTTCGATGTTTGAATATCTAGATTATTATTTTGTGTTATGAAAATAAGTAAGAACGAAAAAATTGTTATTTTTTGCAAATCTCCCCGAGATAAAATGAGACTCGACCTCTTTATATCTTGGGTTTCTCCGGGCCTACCGTAAGAAATTGCCAAGGCCGACCGACGAGGTTACCACATTCTTCTGTTTCTTTGTGCAAGTCGACCGGATTTTGACCGGTCGTTGTAAAACGATTCGTACTTAAAAGCAATCTTAAAAGTACCTACTTCTCCTTGTTATTTATTAGTTTTATTTCATGTTCGTTTAAGGTTTAGTTAAAACGTTAATGTAAAAGCTTGAAAATCAAGAAATTTTAAACCCCTTTTTGGCGCGTTCATGTGCTTTGGTGTTCGTATAAAAAAGGCAAGAGGAGACGCACAGCTGATATATCAATTAGTGGCGCCTATTAAAGTCACATCTGCTATTAGAGAGTGGGACATTTATTAGGTTTACGTGATTCGTTGTACATGTGTTTGCTGTCAGAGACGACCTTGTTTGACGCGTATATTACAAGTTGGAAAATCCAATTCATTGCTTTCCAAAGTTTTAAAACTACACATTTTGATTATATCATTAAGACATTTTTCAAATTGCTTTTTATTATCAATAAAGAAAATCATTTCATTTACTACTAACTACAACTGAACAGAATCAAGGAACATTTTTTGATTTACATCCTTCTCTACCTTGCTATTTGTAATCATTTTTGAAATTACTTCAAGTTCAATGTTTATAAATGTTGGTACTTTAAAAAAATTCTGGGAAGTTCATCAGCTCTGCTTGATAGATTAATATAGTACCAGATAAACCAATGACTTTTCATTTGTTTGATATATTCCATAAAAATGCATCATTTTGATCAACCAACATTTTAAACAATTCGCTCTACATCAACTTCTTACATCACCATTTCAATTGTTTGGAGTGTTGTATCTCAAGGACACATTAGAGAACAACCCACACATCATCTACATCAGAGAGGCTAATATTGCTACGTTTTGATTTTGTTTCAGAATCGTCTAGAATGCTTTAGAATTTGAGAGAACTCATTGTGCGGCAAAAACAGTTTCAAGGCGTGATGAGAAACATTTTGAATAAAAATACTAATATGTAATGTTTCACATAAGTTATATGTGACCCAACTGTTTGTTACGAAATTATTCACAACAGAACATAAAGTTCAAAATTTGATGCTTTAGCTTATTCAAACTTATATGATACACTACACCTCTTAGGGAGAGCTCAAATAGAAACTGTATTAAACACACCAACATAGAACGTACTTCCAGGATAAAGCTATTTCTGTATGTATGAACAACTGGAAAGGTAATTGCTAGTATTTCCTATATTTTCGAGGTGTTTCTAAATAAATTTGGTTACAGCTTTATAGCAGATGGATCACCATATGGTACCTTATCCTTATTGTCAAAACATCGTCTAGCTTTTCTTAGGTTCACTTTAGGTTATTCTTAACATAAAAACTTGAGAAGAGAGGATAAAGAAAAATCGATAGTTTATAAGAACGGACATTTTGAGGTTGATGCTTTAGGAGAGTTAGTGCAGCTTGAAGCGTAGTCACAGTTTTATCTTTGTTGCTTAGTGTTACCTTTGATTTTGAAGCATTATTGACGTTGTGATTCATTAATCTTTGTTTACTTCTAAGTCCTCTATTAAATTATATATTTCAAAGTAGCATAAATGTTAGAGTACGTAATAAAGTCTTTTGGAATATTTGTGATGTCTTTAATCATGACTTCCTTTAGGTTTCTTTCTTTTCTTCATCCCAGTTTCTTTAATACTATGATTTTAGTTTATTTCTGGTTTCTCCTTTATTCATCCTAGTTTTTCATCTCATTCTACATTTATAACTTGTTTCTCGGTTTCTTCCTTTCCAATCGGATTTATTTCTGTTCTTTCTGGCTCTTTCAAATTTACTGCCTTTATTCTGGTCCTTTGTAGCATTTCTAGCTTCTCGCTTATAACCATGTTGTTCTTTCTTCCAACCACAAGTTAATATAAGCGAAAAACTGTATCGAACACGAAGTACTGTGAAGTCTCAACATTGGCGAAGATTGGCGAAAAATGAAGATGAAATGCTGAAGCGAATGCTGAAGTCTCCCTTTTACGTTTTTAGCTTATTTTGGCTTATTTCTTTCTGGTTTTGTTCGAAATTTTATCTTCTTCTTGTAGAGTTTTTTTGGTTCCATAAATATAACTGATTTCTATACTCTTCTAACTTACTGCTGACTCCCTCTCTATTGTAGACGATTTGTTTTCTTTTTTCTTTCTTTTCTTTCATTTTGGAAATTCTGACTTGCTTGAAGATTCTTTTTTTTTGCCTTTATCTGTCATTCTCGTTATCTGCTATTATCTAAGTTCCTGAGTTCTGAGCCTGAATGAGTCTTTCTGGTATCTTTCTAGATTCTACAAGGATATATCTTCTACTTGTGTTGTTCGTTGATTATTGTAGTGAGTCACTCCGTTTTCAGCTTCGTGCGGGCATATTCTATTTTAGGCAATCTATAATTTTTCAATACGATTTAGTATATGTAATAATTTAGTGCGATCTAATTTTTATGCTGTGATGACAACCTAATCTTGCAATTAAATGCTGCGCAGATCTTTTACTATGCAGTATGCACTGTGTTGAAATAAACTTTCATAAAAAACTTATTTTTCCAAAAAAAAAAACGAAAGCTATTTTGATTCCTTCTACAATTATTCAAAAATGCATCTAAATCGGTGTGATATACTTGTGAGCGTGAAGTTTTTAAAAGGATTACACTTGAGTGGTTTTGAATTATTACAAAAACGCAGTTCTGTAGAACCACAACGAATCTATTGAATATGATTAAAAAAGAATGGATTAAATAATTCGTGTTTTTATAAAAGAACTTAATTTGTTATCCAATGACTCTGTAATATTAAGCGATTTGTGTAGTATTCCTCTTTTGAACAATTGCGGTTTTCCATCAATCATGGTGGTTTTTGAATGACGTTTGCTCTACAAAGCAGCCAGCATCGACCAACTTTCGCAAAACAATTAAAATAACAGCCACGCATGAATCACCGCGTGTGCTGGTGCATGCTGAGTACAATGTGCTGCCGTACGTCAACTCACTCTCTGGGTTCGCACGATAAAGTGACGTGACGTGCGATAAGAACGCAGGGTCGCATTGTTTCCACTATACTTTCAGTTGGCAAAACAGTTCCTGGCAACCAAAACTCATTCTCTAAACTCCGGGGATGTGAACGAAATCATAACGAGGTTCCAAAACGAAAATTTCCATCTTTCTTTTTCCACTGTCGCTATCTCTCTTTTATTTCTTTTCATTGACTGGTGTTGTTGGTCAACGTCCGTTAAAGTTTAAAATACACCGGACACGTGTGTGAATGAGGCTCGGCGTACATGAAGAAAGGAGGAGGTGGAAATGGAAATGTAAAAAGAGAAGAAAAGTTGAATGGACTCTACTCTTTTCGCAATTGTTAGCATTTGGGGTCCGTTTCAAGCAAACACGAGCAAGTAGAAACGCAAACTATTCTTCGTCTCCTGGTTGGAGCTTTATAAAGCTAATATTTACCGGCCTAGTACTTGCTTTGTCTATTTTGGACACCGTACATTAATAACCGGCCGCATCCGCGAAGCCAACCATCAATTAATATTCATTAAATGCTTTCGTAATAGCCTTTCTAGGAACACACACACATACAAAACTGTATATACAACACTCGACGGCGATAGATTATTTTTCACCTTTTAATGGTTTAGCAAAGTGGTTGACGTATATTATCGGATTTTGATAAAATAACGCAATTTCTTGGTGTGTTGAGTTTCCCGGAATAGTGATGTCTCTTGAACGATTTGTCCTTCAACCTTCTTTTGTCTACGTGGTCGTAGTTGTCGGCGGCAAGTTTTAAACCGTCGTCGACGGGATATAGAAGAATTGCGGCTTGTTGGTTGTGAGAACAAAGGCTTGCAATGCGACCTTCAAGGCCGAGAATAATAAAGTAAACGCCGTTAAATAGCCACCATGAAAGGTGTTTATAGCTTCAATGAGATGTTTTTTTGGTGATTAATTCACCAGCAACGTGTTGAATCATAGATTTAAATTTTAAAAAGTTCTTAGAAAATTATTTAAACCATTTTCAATATTTAAATATTCATTTTATCTTAGGTTATTAGAAAAACGACAATATATTATTACCTTCATTTCTGGGAAACATTTATGTAACTGGTTAACAAGAAGAAATATTGGAGAACGACTGATTTTAAACAAAACTAGCAGAACTAACATGTGCATTTATGTATATGATTCATTGAGCATGCGTGTATTAGCGATAAAGATAAGGTACAAATTAATTTTTCTTCGTATTTTGCGTTTTTCTTAAATGCCATAAGTATTACTTACAAATCAAATTATTTTTTCCACATGTTAATATGTTTCTTTCTATTTATCAATACTCCTACGTTAAGTAATCGCATACTTTTCGAATAATTAATTTATTTTATCTAAATCGTAAATGGAATTTAAATTAATCATTAATACAAAAAATATTGTTGATGAACACCTAAACATTTAAAACTTACCAAAAAATTGACGTTCAATAGGTTTTTATTGAAATCAGTCCTTTAAATATCAGCCTTAACACCTCTTAAAAAACTTTTCCATAAAAAAAGTCTCTTATAATAATCTAGACGGCCAAAGTTGAAAACATATGTGAAAAAGTATACTTCTGTCACTTTTGACAGGTAAACCGCCCACATGTGTGGTGGAAACACGTCAAAGTAAACGTAAACGCGACGCGGTAACGTATCGGCGTCGCGACGCCTCGCGATTTTTAAATGGGCCGAAGAACTTTCTTTTTCTATCGTTGTTAATTGTTATTAATATTGTTTTTTATTTCGGTTACGTGGGAGATTGCAATAAAAAAAATCTAGAACTAAACCGGAACCGACAACCTGTGCTCGAGCACCATGTTTGTTATTGATCGGTAGAGAGAAGTCTCACCGTTGCATGCGCGAAAGATGCGCCGAAGAGACGTCAGGGGGCGTTAAAAAATTCTTTTCCCCACCTGAATAACTTCTACATCCTGTTCGAATTCTAGATGACTGTCTAATTTTTAACGATATCTGTAATCATTTTAATGTAGATTTCTAGAATTAAAGAACTTTAGTTTTGCTATTTCATCATAGATGGAGTAGAACATAGAATCGAGCTTTAAAAATATTCTGCTATAACAGTAAAACCTCGATATAACAAAATTCGTTAGAATGAACTTAGCCGGACAACCAAATATTGTTGTATATTTTTCATTGAGCTAGAACTAGAACTAACACTAAAACTACTAACTTTCCAGTTGTAGGTCTAGTATTAGTTGTAGTTTTACACCAGCACTGTTACTAGAAGTATCAATACACCCAGATTTAGCCGCACGTCTTCAAGACGGCTAAACCCGAATGATTCTATTTTCTAGTTCTAGATCTAGTGTTAGTTCTAGTTTTACACTAGTACTATTAATAGCAGTAATACTATACCTAGAACTAGAATCATTCGGATTTAGCCGTCATGAGCCCGTTTTGAGGTAATCAAATATTTAGGAGTAATCCTACACAAAACCCTCTCATGGAATGGACATCTACAGGGAGTTTTATACAAAGCTATATTATCCTTGTGGACTTGTAGTCTTTGTTGAAAAAAGATTGTACTAGCTTTATGTGACTGTGGTTAGATCTATGAGTAGTATAGAAACACCGATTCTAGACAGTAAGTTGCACCTCCGCTTTTTAAAAAGAGTAACAGTTTACCTGGTTGGTAGTGGTTTAGTTCCACTACCAACTACTATGTGGCGCGAACTTTTCTAGCTACTTTTTTATAAGTCACCAGATCTAGTTAGTTTTCCAATACCAACTTATTTTTCTTTTCCTCAGCTTTAGGTTGATACCCCTCCCTATACTTTTACATTGGGCGGATGACGTCACGGAGGAGCGGAGGAGCAACTTCCTGTCTAGAATCGGTGTTTCTATACCACTTCTATGATCACATATGAAGCGGCAGCCTGATTTAGGAAACCTTCACGAATTCAACGAGTAGCTGGATTGGTAATCTGTGGTGCGATAAGCACAATGCCAACTCTAGCAATGGATGTTCTGGTTAGCATATCTCCTTTGCATTTGCATATAGAGAAAGTGGCCAAAATTACCACTTATACGTTTGAGCAATATGCTCAAAACTGCTCCGATATGTCCTACCAATGGGCTGAGAGAGACACTATAAGCACTGATATTGTGCTATCAATATTTGACGGGATCACTACCAGTGATTAATGCTTGGGTGCCAGATTGTACTATCTGAACAGCAGTCCTGGATTGGAAACGAAAATTCTCTGAAGACGCACGGCTAAAACCGAAACTTTCTAGTTTTAGGTGTTAGTTCTAGTTTTAATCGTTATTCAGCATTAGATTCTTGTATATTTTTCTTATTCGTTATTCTTCCACTCCTTTTTCGGTAAAGCTCGATCGGTCATAGTCAGTCTGATCTCTTGAATCCAGGATATACTATTTGGCCTACCTCTCTTTCATCTATGTTGAGACACATATCCAAGAGCTCTTTTTGGCCATTTTTGGTCATCACATGCCCATAGCATAACACCTGTTTGGTTTTCACTACATCAATTGTCGTATATTCCCAGATCGTCGGTTAATTTTCTGATTAACGACATGTTGCAGACTTGATATATTGCATGCTCTTCTTAAAAAGTTCATTTCTATCGTTTCAAGTTGTTTCCTGCTTTTCTCTGGATTTCTCTCTACTGACTATAACAAAAAGTGTTCGTTTAGCATACGAACACTTTTTCGACCTTGGTGCGTCCTTTTCTGGATATCTTTAGCAAATGTTCCATCTTCCGAAATTATGAAGATTAAAGCCTAACAACCCGTTTCTTTGCTGATGACCAAGTGGTTGCAGCAAATGAAAAGTATGATATTGACTTTGTGTTCAGGAAACTCATAGAAGAATATCGGAAGTGGTAACTGAATGTCAATACGGATAAGGCAGAATATTTGGTAATAGAAAATGACATGAGGGATTTTGAACTACAAATAAACAACATATATACATTTTTTAATATAATAGCCTTTTAATATCATCTTTGAGGTTAGCCCATTGAGGTGAATTATGTAACTCTCCATATACCAGCGAACAAATTACACAAAAGAAGCAGTTGTGCAAAAATTATAGGTGCAGAAGTTCAGACCTTGTGTGTAATGTATGGATAACTCTGTTTATACAGCAACCTGTTGTGCAACGTCAGGTTGTGTAATTTGGTCACATGTTTTGGATCTGTTAATGTTTGTTATGACTACTAACATTCTTAATCAAAGGAAATTTTTCTCAGATAGCTCAGTAGCTTTACAGAACGGCATCTTAAGTCTTAAAAATGGTGTAGGACATCATTCCATAATGAAAATTGGTTTATTTCATTTTCTGGCCGATTTAAAGCAAGAAAATTACAGCCTAGATTAATGATTATTGGATATGAGTAGCTCAAACTCTAACAATTTTAGGTAAAAAGTTCCTTTTAGTTCCAATAAAAAATCTTAAATTTTGCTGGTGCTGAAACAACACCAGAAAGTATATTTAAGTAGTTACACTGAGTTTTAGCTTTTCCGAATTTAAGGAAAATGTCTAACGAAATCAATGAGAATTGAAAAAACATAAATTCTTTGTTATAAATACGTTTTATTTACAGATTTTTTCGATTTGATCATTATATACAAGGTTTTACAAAAACTTAACAAAAAAAATCATTTATCAACGACACTTTCATGTTCAACATATAACATACATAACATACATTACGTTTTCGGTCCATTATTGTTTTTTTTTAAGATTGACAACATTCTAGTAAACTCGGGAATAAAATATACAAACAACTATTTGTAATAGGAAAATATGGCAGTAGAAAACCGATTTCGAGTTCTGCTTGTCTTTATTATTTTTTTTTAATAAAGATTCTTATTCAATTAATAAATTTCGATCATCGATTCGTGTTTTTATTTTTATTGTTTAGTTCATACAAGGTTTCGATTTAGATCTAAAATAAGAAAAAAAATGATTAGGTTGTTTTTATTATGCGTTTGTTTGATTTTCGTTTTATTAGCGTTTTGAGTGATATTTTTAGAAAAATTGGACGAATGTTTATTATTATTATTATTTTTGGTTTAAGTTTATTCATTTATTTATTTTTTTTTTGATATTTTGAGCAATAAAGGAATATATTTTTTTATGTTTGGGAAAAAATTTGACTATTATATTTATGATAACGTTCGATTGTATATTTTCGTTAATAATGGTGAAAGTTGCCTTTATATAGTTATATATACACTTATACTATTTACAATAGATACAAAAATATCCAAAACATAACCACATTGAGTTATCACACAACGTTTATTATGGTAGTTTTTTGTTAAGAAAAATTTTATATTATTCTTCTATGTAGACCACCAAACATTCATGTCCCTATAATTGCACTGAAACTAAATCACAAGTATCTAGGATATCACCATCTAAGGTAGTGTCATATTTTGAAGATATTTGATTATGGGGTGAGTGTTCACACTCATTCTGTGATTGCTATACGGATATTTCTTGGATTTGGACTCTTTTTTTAACGGTTCCGCCTGGGGGGTTGCTCGATGTTCTCATTGGTGGCGGAGGTTTATCTCCTTTATCTCTTTTTTGCTCGATATTTTGAATATCGGGGTAATTTTTAACGATCGTGTAACTTGGGGGATATTCTTGGTTTTCTTTTCTGTTTAAAATTGGTGATCTTCGTAACGACCCGCATGGAGTGTTCGGTCTTTGTGATAACGCAATATTCTCTGTTGAAGGTGTCGAATTCGACCTGGACATCCTATTATTTTGATTACTTTGTCTCCTTCTGTCTCTATCTCTTTGATAATAAATCCCGGCGAAAATAAGCATATTCAACACCAATAATAGACATCCAACACCCACTGTAACACCCAAAGCGGCTGTGTAACTATAATAATGCCTCGTAGCTAATTTTTGAAATAATTCTCCCTCTTCGTCTATTTCCTCTGTTGATGCGACCTCTGCGATCAATTCTTCATCATCTGTTGTGTTCGGGATACACTCGGTTCCGTCTCCTATCGAGTGGTGATCAGTCATGGAAGCCGGATGCAATGGAGGCGGAAGTCTCGTGAAGGATTCCGCCCGGACTTGCCCTGTGTACGTAATACAAAGATCATGTAACAACGAACTAGCCGAGATTAGACGTTTATGAAGACCGATAGCGAGCGTATACCGAAAATGGCGCGGTAAACATTCATAAGGGGTGGCAATTACCGGCGTAGTAATGGGGTTCTCTCTCGTGGAAATGGTGGTGTCGCATGCTGACATCGTCGTCACCCGGTTGATGTAGCTGAGGGATTAAGTTTAACCAAACGGCCATCTTATGACCTCTGTAATGACTTTTCATTTTTGGTTTCAAAGCTAAACAGAAAAAAAAGTGAGTTAATTTGTGCTAATTTATTTTGAAAAATAAAAAATAATTGTTTTGAACTTGTCCGGTTAACCTGGAAATCGAGATAAACAGCGAAATTAACCGCGTCCACCAGACAAATCTCGTAAATTGGCGACCTTTTGCGAGGGAAATCCGCCTTGAATAACAACAACAACCGGAAAAAGAAAGAAAAAAGAGGAGGTGATGCACGACTAACGATGAAACGCAAGCAGGATTTTTATTTTTTCTTTTTTTGTGTTTTTTTTTTCACGAGGCGTATATCACCGGGTAGATGCCGTAACCGCTCTTTCGCATATGCCTCCACGTGTGTATACGCCCTCGTGTATCGTTCGGATTTTTTTCATAACCTCCGAGCCGTGGCTTTACTATCACGCTTTTCTGCGGTTTTTATTTTTGACGACGACGACGACCAAACCCGCTCGCCGCATTCGAGTAATAAGTCAACGGCGGTGTTGATTTACGATAGTGGATGTCGTTCTGGGGTCAACCTAAACCTGCGACCCGTTGTGTTACTTTAATTATAATATGGATTCGAGTTTAATACATAGAAATTAGTATTTGGTGAATTAGCCAGCAATAATATTAATTAATATGTAATATCTATGAAGTTATTCAAACGAAATAATAACATTTCGATACATTTATTGAACACAAAATAATAATAATAATGTATTCAAATTATATCAACGCTATTAGTTATCAAATTGCTTTTTTAAATTAAAAAATAAAGTGAGTACCCGGAATAATGTGGAATATTCACGGATTTATTTACGCGTTCATTTATCTCCGAAACTAACGGTAATTGTAGAAATTTTGGGAAACGCTAGAGGGACAGTTGCAAAGTAAAAAGTCCGTTCTAGATAGAATCTGAACGCACGACCGTCGCGGCGTTTTGTTGCAGCGGTTGTTACGACTTCTCTTTTGGAATAGGGTGGTCTCCCCTAAACCACATAGTTGGGTTGGTTGGCATTCTGTTTCCGGGTGTTCGTATAACTGCAACAGTGTACACGCGCCCCGCCTGTTTCGTATAATTGTATCTGATGGTTAAAACGAAATTTACGCACGCGGACGGTTTAGGTACATTTCAAACTAATTACATTTTCGGGCAGAAATTTCGTAACCAAATGAAAACTTCTATTAAACTTTATACTCCAGAAACTTTATTTTTTAGCAATTTACGAAATATTGACTTCAGTTTATGATAAATCGGTCGAGTTAAAATTTCCAAATTTTGACCCAATCCCAAACTAACAATTTGGTGCGCTGTGTCCTTATCTATGGGGCCTTATCTTTTTGAATCCGAAAGATTAACTGTTACCGTGAACGAAAATGGAAGAGAATAGAGAGAAACATTACACAGAAGCCTTCTGGTTTCAGCAAGATGGAGTCACGACCCATACTGCCATCGTTCATACGAAATTCTGCAACATCTCTTTCCCGGTTGTCTGATCTCTTATCGGGAGGATGTTCCTTAGCCTATTCGCTCCCTCGATTTCAACCCAAGTGACTTTTTTTTGTGGCGATACGTCAAAGCTGAGGTATACAAAATTCGACCCTTGGAACTCTGAAGGTGGCGATTGAAGTCGTCATCGCTGAAATTTTGCAAGATATGCTGGGAAGAGTTGCCGAATATTTCTTTGAAAGGCTTAGTATGTGCATTGTTCCCTAAGATAGCCACTTGAACGATATTATTTTGAAAACATCTTAGTTTGAATCTAATAATCTTGCGGTGAACGCGTCCAAAACTGAGTCATTGACGTTTGCTCTACGAGGAATTGCGCCAAATATCACTCAGATGGTTAAATATCTAGGAGTGATACTTGATTCTAAGCTAACGTGGGAGGCTCGTGTGTTAAGCTTGGTCAAGAAGTCAAATATTTCAATTTTTGCAAATAGAAATCTGATAAATATGGTACCGTTTGACACTTTGATTATCACTTATTAGTATTACAGATACTTCGATCCACAGGTGATCTACGCCATTCATTGTTGGGGTCACTCTGCTCACACTGCCTAGGTTTTTCGAATGCAAAGGAGATGATTGAGAGTCATGACTGGTTTGAAATGTTGCAAAGCTTGATTGTTTGAATATCTTGACTGTTCTGAGTATACATACTTTAGGATTGCTACAATACATTAAAAATAATCCAACCTCATATTGTAAAATAAGCGACAAACACAATTGGACCGAGTTATACATCACTTGACTAAGCGACATTTGATCGTTTTTAGAGATTTTCATGCTGTCTAGTAGGTAAAGGTGTAACTTATCTTAGAAAAAATGCAGAATATCGAGAGACGTAAAATACTATTTGTTAAGCGCCAATCACGTTATACGATTTCAAGTCCGACCAAGAAATTCTACAATAGAAAAAATAGATGAACCTACAATTTCGGGCCAGTGTCGTTTTCTAGATGTTAGTATAAAATTAAAAGTTTATGTCTTTTATTTTATATAGAGTTTAAGTCTAACTAGTTTCGGCCCTTGGCCATCTTCAGAGACTCTGAAGACTGTGTTAGTCTACAAATAGATTAACATCTCTCATCTTATCTTGTAACACTTCGTCCTTAATTTCATTTTACAACTTTTTAAACTTTAATTAAGTAAATTAGTGACTAATAATCTGATTTCGACTTCGATATGTGATCTTTTTTGAACAAAACAAAAACAAATATTAAGAAACTTGTTTGTAAAATGGATAAGATGAGAGATGTTATAGTTTTAGTGATTACAGAAACACCTGTATAATCGTAAAACGTAAAGAGTGACCAACCGGCTTTTGTGCTTGTGATAGCTGTCATCAGTGTTCTGTGATAAAACCAAACAATTTTCAATAGTTTGAGTCTGTCTATTCTGAAAAGTCTTATATTTTTAGAGAGATGAAAACGAAAATCCCGTTTTTCTCAACATTATTCATTTGGCGCTTAATCAAGTGATGCATAACGCGGTCCAATTATCACGCTAGAAATAATAAGTGCTGCTTGAGCGTACCTTGGATTTAGATGCTAAGCAGTTTAAAACTAAAATAAGACTATATGTTGGATTTTAAAGTTTCTATAACAATTTCTGAACTAGAGGGCTTGCTGGTGGCATTGCCATAGTTTGTAATTGTGCGCTTTTTGCTGTAACATCTTGCAACTTTTATTTTTTGCTCAATGTAGTCAGCTGGTGTTAATTGTGTTATATTTTTATGATGCTTTCCTTTTTTTAGCCTAGTTTATTAGGGATGCAGTGCCATTAAATTTAGATATATAAAGGAGTTTTTTCTATGACTAAACAATATGATTAGTTAAGAATGAAGGGAGACAATTTTATCAATTGTGCTGACAAATCTAAAACAATATTTTATGGAAGCTGTTTAGACATTTTGGGGTGTTTATGTTTAAATAAACAGAGTTCAACACATGGACTGGTATGCAATGAAACACATCCGTTAATTTATTGTTTGAAATAGCGCCCAAAGTTTATAATAGGGTTAAATTATTTCATTATAAACTTGACAAACATTAGACAAGCCGAATATATTATAATAGTAAATCGATATACTACACAATTTCAGCATATAGACCACATAGGGCAAGTCAGCAAAGCAAGCAACTATTTACTTCCTTCTCATGTTTGGAAATTGATAACTATGGTCATCAATATATCTTTGAATAATAAAGTTTTGGGTCTCGAAATTCAAAAAAAGGAATCGTTTAGTTTTCAAGATTTCTCTCAATCCGATAATTATTCTTCTTTATGTTTCAACAGAAAGTTTTTCATGAATATTGATGTAATTTTATCTAAAATTAATCCAAACTGTTCTGTTATTACCAGACATAGTTTGGAAATAAAAAAAAAGCCTTTATTCGTTGAACATCCAGGGACCCATAAAACGTAGGCATTCATTTTAGAGAACACGTTATCGGTGGCAGGGCGTAAATATGCCGGAAAAAATTGGACCTCGACCCTACTCCAGAGTTTAGAGGATCGTGTTGTAAATCAAAAGGGGTTCAGAATCCCGTGGATGAAGTCGCTACATCGTATAATGTTAAATATTTGCGATTCCCATCTGGACAGATACACATAAGACGCTTCTGTGAGATGACAAATTTCAAGTAGGTTATTGTCTCTCTTGAATTGGTGAATTGTACCAAGAGGAAACGGATAAGGTGACGTGAGTGTAAATCATGCTTATGCTTTTCTTTATTTACTGTATTAAAATGTTGAATTTTTTAAATAATATTTGTTTCTTGTTAAATCTAAAAGCTTAGATATACAAAGAATACGTTAGATTCATATACTAAGAAATAGAGGATTGGTTTCTTGTGGATATCGTTTGTATTAAGAAGCAAATCTGTAAGAGGAGCTTAGCAACTCCAGCATAGCGAGTGGTAATACGTTAAGCCTCTTTGTTGCCACCACCTCACCATAACGCGACGATTTCGCCCAACTATAGCCGAAGCTGCTCCAAAGTTATTGTGAATATTTATAGCACACAAAGGTGACTTTGTTGTGGAAATAACGTTTGCATTTGCGGGCAATTTTGGTTATAACGCTGAATTTTACTCGCCCGCGTTTGCGGTTTATTAGTCTACCTGTCAGCTATTTACTAGATTAATGAAAGCGTAAACTTCGAGAAAGAAAGAAAGAGGTGTAAAGGTAGAACATTTTAGAGCGACTCCCTAAAACGAAAGAGAGAAGGCAAATTTAGAATTTTCTAATAAAATTCGGGAGCGGTAATGACCTTTGTTCTCGAGTCTTTTTAATTAAGACTCCCTTGGCAAGTTTTCAAACAACGATCTTACTTAATTTCGGTTATTTTTATTCCAATTTACTTACAAACCGGCTCATTTAGAGTTGATAGATATTAGGTTGGGATATTTGATATAACACAAACTTCGTTGACTTACAAAGTTGTTAAATAGAAGTAAAAGGATACATAGACACTAAGATGGTAAAGTATGTTTTCTACAACGTTGTAAGCCGTATAGTTTCTGTGGCGTTTCAGAAAACGAGCGCGTCGTTTACGATCCATAAACTGTCACGACGGACTGATATCACTCATAAAAGTTCAATCGCCAGCGCAAATCTTCAAATGGCGTGTAGCACTAAATCTTTCTGGGGGTAGTTTTTGATAACTTGTTCTAGGCAACGTACCAGATGTCACGTTACTACACGAATCGGAATTTGTATGAAACAAACGGAGGAACTTCTGCAGCCACAGCTCGCGCGCCAACTTTTTAAACTCATAAAATAAACATTAGGGAGTGAGGAGACGTGTCGCCGTTCCGTGGGGTTTGCGCAGACGAAGTATGCAACCTCTTCGAAATTTTCGATGTTGTCAAGTTACTATAAAGCTTGAAGCCGATGGGGGATTGTAAATATTTAAAGAATAATATTTATTTTTAATCAAACTGAACGTGATTTTGAAAATTTTTAACAAAAAAAGGGGAGTTGTTTTACAATTTGGTATTCGTTATTCACAGGGGATGATAAAAACCGGAAATTATAAACATTTACGTATTAAGGGAGTTACAACAGGCGAATTCATGTCACGCAGAAACGCGCTTCATGTTCTCATCAACCAATTATTGATTTTTAGCCGTGTCGGGACTTGGCCAATTTAGTTCCGGAATAGGAACTCGGAATAATTGAAATTAAAAATGTTTATTTTGAGTATTTACCAACCAAACTTTTCCATTTATTAAAAAAATATTGATAATTGCAAAGTTGCCCAAAATTTTGTTGTAAATTTTTTATGTACCCGTTTTTGTTTTATTTATTTACATTCTTTTTTGTTTTATAAAATTTAAATAATACAAATTTTGTTTTATTTAGTAAGTAACAAATTTCATTACAAATTTAAAACATTTTTGATAAGTTTATTTGTTGATAGGTCTTATTTGTTGCGTTGAGTTATTTATACTCCTACACCAGGTAACGTAATTAAATGCAAATCAAAACCACACCTTATGAGAAACTTTAGCCAACTTCCTTTCGAGCTACAAGTCAACGGAACAAAAGCCTAACGTTGTAATTTCAGCTAGGATATTATGCATTAAAACTGACGAAGCCCGGGGGGCAGTTGTCGCTCTGTAACTTCAACAAACTTCATAAATAAAGACTTTCCCGGTATAAACTTACCTATACTGAGGTAGTATTGTGTCCCAACTTCATACGGTTCCCATACAAGACCTTTATACCTAGTCTTTTCACGAACAGTGCCGTAATCGGGGATTTCCTTTTGTTGACCCGGTCCGTTTGGGTCACCACTTTTTGCAAAGTTACTGAAAAAATTCAATACAGCTTCCGCAACGCCCATATCTTGTTTTGTGTAATTATGTGGGAAGAATGGCATTCCTCCAACTAAAGGAAGACCTAGGATATATGTGACATCTTCACCTCGAACACTACCTAAACGCTAAAAATAACCAAAAAAAGTATGTAAATGTGAGGATTATGAATATTAAAGGCTAATGAGAATGGAGATAATTGTTTGGAATTTGAAACGAAAATGGTTCCAACCGGAGAAATTAATTATTACGTTGGCGTTCTATTTCAAAATTATCAAAACAATTTTGCAAATTGCTTTGCACGATTTAGGCGGCGTGCAATTAAATAAACGACCTATGACTGTAAAGCTAATGTCAAATTATAGCGTATTTATTCTATATTTGCTCATTTTGATAATTGGCAATTTAATTAATCCTGAATTAATGATTGAAACCAATTCATTTTAAATGTTTTACATTAAATTAAAAAGTATTATGACCTTTCTAGAATTTTGGTCTGTTCGTAAACATCAGATTAAACTATTTTGTCATAGAGATACTTTAATTAATTTATATACATTTTCGATGATTTAAATAAATAATTATTCCCATGTAATTAGGTAAAAATACACTTTGATTGTTGTAATTAATTTTGAAAGCAATTTTTAAAAGTGAATTTTAATGAGGTGATTTAGTTTGGTAATTAACTACAATACAAATCCTATAAATTCTATTAAATAGTTCAGTACTAATCGGATATAGAGTAACAATGAATTAAAAATTTATTTATATAATTTATAATTTGAAATATATCAACCTCAAATAGTAGCTTTTAATGTTAACATGTATGTTAATGTAACTCAACTCTTTATAGTAGAAACTTAAATCTTGGCAGAAATTTGCATTAAATTGTTTAGCAGTGCGTCTGAAAACGCACGGTTAAACCTGAAACTTTTTAGTTCTAGAAACTAGAACTAACACTAGACCTATAACTAGAATCGTTCGGGTTTAGCCGTACGTCTTTCAAGACGGCTAAACCCGAATGATTCTAGTTCTAGGTCTAGTGTTAGTTCTAGTTTTGCACTAGCATTGTTACTAGAACTAATACTAGATCTAGAACTAGAAATATTCGGGTTTAGCCGCACGTCTCTCAAGACGGCTAAACCCGAATGATTCTAGTTCTAGGTGTAGTGTTAGTTCTAGTTTTGCACTAGCACTCTTACTAGAACTAATATAGAATCGCGTTTAGCCGTCTTGAAAGAGTAGAGTTTAGTTCAATAAACATATACAACAATTTAGCGCTGAATAACAATTAAAACTTGAACTAACACTAGACCTAGAACTGGAAACATTCGGGTTTAGCCACACGTCTCTCAAGACGGCTAAACCCGAATGATTCTAGTTCTAGGTATAGTGTTAGTTCTAATGCTAGTTTTAACTCTGGTTTCAGTTGTTATTCAGCGTTAGATTGTTGTATATTTTTATTGAACTAAAACTAGAACTAGCATAGACCTACAACTAGAAACATTCGGGTTTAACGTGCGTCTTAAGACGGCTAAATCCGAACCGTTTTTAGTTCTATGTCTAGTGTTAGTTCAAATACTAATATTACCTCTAGTTTTAGTTATTATTCAGTATATTTGTTTTTTCCAATTCGTTATACATAGAATACCCTATACAAATACATTTGATTAAAAACTTGTGTACAAAGTATTAGCTTGATTTAAAACAAACATAATGTTGAAAACAAACGGAAGTAGAAAACGTCACCGCAAGAAACGTACGATGGAATTTCCTACGGAGCAAACGTTCACTTTTCAACGGAATAGCGTCTTTCCGCAGTTCGGGTCCAATTGAATTTTGGAACTTAATTATACGGAACCCAATATTGGTCCGCAAGCTAGAAGTAAATTTACCGAACGGAAATAACGTATTATTCGTAAGGTGGGAGAGGTTTGCGAGGGGTTGGCACACCCAGTCTAATGCGTTCCCGAGTGCACTTTGACCGGCGCCAGTGACAAATTGCAACCCGACCGGACCTTTTCCCTTTTTTTATACCGTCGATAAATCGATCTCTCTTACCTGGGGATAGTCGCTGTCCTTCGTCTGATAACCGAAGTGGAAGAAATACGTCTTTGCCCCTCTTCTGGCGTGGAGATATCCAACCCTAATCAATGGGGAGACGGTGTGTCCATCGCTGAGAGCTTCCATCGTTGAATCCCTGATATTTATCGGATGCTGTATCGGTCTATCCCAATCCGTGTACTCGTTTCTAACCGCTGAGAAAATTTCGTTTAAATGATATACGTAAGCGTTTCTTATGTACGTTCTCAAGACGCGGTTTCGTTGATCTTCCTCGAAACCGTATTGAATATCGCTTTCGCTGAAATCCGCGTAACTTTCAGTTGTGGTTGTACCTAACATTAACTCGCACTTGATAAAGTTTTCACTATGCTCCATTGAAAATGCTGGGTCAGAACTATCAGCATCTACTGGCAGTGATGGTGCAATTCTAGGCATAAATCTTACAGTTTCTAAACGAGCTTCCAATAAAGCTTGAAGAGGTCTTGAAAATTGTTGGATATTATTTAAAGTTATTAACAAAAAAAATTTTGTTACCTAGATCGTAGACAAGGTGCAATATCCTCTTCCTCGTTTGGTGCGGTGGTCGATAAACAACCAGTTTGTTGGCCGACAGAAATCCTGAGTGCTTCGGGATTGTGGAGAGTGGCCCAAGGACTCAAAGCGGTACCGCTCAGCAATACAACGCGATGAAAAAGTCCTGCGGAAACCAAAACAAACCGGTTACACAAACATTGGTCTCTCGATAGTTTTTCCGAAGCCCAAGTAATTACGTTTCACTTTACGTTTCGCTTTACGATCTAACTTCACAAATCAACTTGCGCTTCGACGAACCATAAATTATTTATGCTGCGGTAAAAGCTCTCGAGTTAGGAAAGGTCCAACTGGGAAATGAGATAACGAATAGGGGCATTACTACTTTATTAGGGTAACGGTTCACAAGACAAATGGTTAAAATGTAAGGTAGAGATTTTTACACCTTACCTTTAGACGTTGGCGATACAAAAAGTAAATTTACAAGAGCCGCTCCTGTATCGTGACCAAGTAATGTTACGCGATTTGTATCACCTCCAAAAGCCGCGATGTTTTTCTTAACCCAGTTCAAAGCGGCTGCTATATCTTGTATTCCTAAATTACCTCCTGTATTTGACGATTTATCGTACGTCGGTCTGGTACGAAGGAATCCTAAAAGAATAAGATGAAAGTTTAAAAGTCATAAGCGAAAATGCGACTTTAAAGACAACTTTTACGAGAAAAAAAAAACTGTGTTACCGTCTCAGTTGATGGCTGTTTCTCGAATGGAAAAGCAAATTAAAAACTTGCTAAGAGCCTTTTTAACGGTCGAGAAGACTTTATTGAATTGTTTTAAACATATTAAGAATTAAGTGAGGTTGAGTGTAGTTTTTAGTTAATTTTAGGTTTTATAAAAACCTCTTTTAGTAAAAGTATTCGGATTTAGCCGTGCGTCTGAGTGTTACTGTAGCGCTAGTTCTACTTTTACACTAGCACAGTTACTGGAACTAACAGTATAGCTAGAACTAGAATCATTCGGGTTTAGCCGTCTTGAGAGACGTTCGGCTAAATCCGAATGATTCTAGTTTTAGGTATAGTGTTAGTTCTAGTTTTACACTGCCATTGCTACTAAAGCTAACACTATGCCTAGAACTAGAATCATTCGGGTTTAGCCGTCTAGAGAGACGTTGGGCTAATCCCGAATGATTCTAGTTCTAAGTCTAGTGTTAGTTCTAGTTTTATATTAATACTATCAAACATCATATACACATCATATAGACAACTCGGGGAGTTGTTCATAGATAATTTGGGGTAAAATTATCTATGAACATGGAATAGAACGACTTGGGAAATAACCCGAGTTGAATTCTATCATGAGCGTTAACATTTATGTTTAACTATAGTGATGTATTAAATATTGCAATATTAAATACTAAAATATGAAAATATGAAATAATTTTGTTCGTTATATCTGAAGTTTGTTATATTGTAGTTTTACTGTATTTGGTTATGGGTTTAAATTTTTTTCGAATTCCAAACAAGCGAGAATTGGTTCGTTTTGTGGCTGTTTCCCTTCAATTCGAAATGAAAATTGATGGAGCTCGGCAATTCCGTTTAGAGCGACCAATAACGGCGAGCACGTCCCCGCATCGAAAACGTTTTAATTTCGCGAGATTTACTGCCAAAGTGCAAATTACATCTTTCTCGCGTACGGACGCAATCTACATCTACTTGGAATTCCGCGGCCGCGCGATAAATCTCCTAGGGAAAAGGGTGGGGCGTCACCGTTAGGGTTCCCTGGCCGGGGCGTCGCGGCGCCTCCTCAAGACATATTGCCCGGTAACGAATTGCCCTTATCTGATTAAATTATACCCGATTTCGCGAAATATATCACCAATATCCATTATGTGGCCCCCCTGCCAGATATTAAACTGAAATTAGTTCGAGGGAAAATTTCTATCCCCATCTTGAGCTAATTTACGCTAGCAGTATGTTTATAGTAAGACGTTCCTTCCATTGCCTTTAGCTAGAGGTGGGGTTTCCTTTATATGCCGTTAGGGTGCGCTTCGTACGTGTCGGTGTCACTGCTAAGTAGCCCTCTGTATTTATCGAGCTATTCCACCCCACCACAACTTCGACTTAGTGAATAATTCCTTATATCATCGTTTACAACTCAACAATCTCATCTAAAAGCTATTGATTACACAGAACTTTTTTTGTGCATAAAATTTTAGTTTTTCGATAAAATTTATGTTTTAGTAGAAACCTGAAGGGAGAGATATTTCCATCTAACCTAGTGATGTTCTAGACGCCCAAGCTTCGTAGTGTCTAGTAGTAAAGTAGTTCAATTTACGACTGTTCACGGTTGGTTCGGTGTAAACGGGATCTAAGAGAGAGGGCGGTTAGACAACACCACCGGGTGCTTTTAATCCCCGTTCAATTTTCGCGTCAGGGATTCAGAGATGTGCGCGTGGTCGACGAACGAAAGGGTTGTTTAGGGTTTTTAAGACTGTTCGAAAGTCAGTCGGAGGAGAAAACGTCGGCGGCGGGGTAAACTGCGCCCTAGGGAGGCCAATTTTCAACCCCGGGTACGCGTTTGATCTGCAATTAGACGAAGGAGTTCCGAGGGAAAAACCGTAAGTTTTAGAACGGAATTTGGAAGGGATTTTCAACTCAACCTTGATAAGAGTTAAATTGGAAAATTGGTTTAGATTAAATTTCGAAATGAAAATTATTGTGTTAAACCAAAACCTTAAAGGAAAATAAAAAAAGGAATAAATTTAGCAGTGAATCCATTCCTTTTCAAAGAAAATTTAAATTCTTTCTGGTCACGTCTTTTGATGGTAATTCAATTGTTTCGCAAGGCAATCAGCACCGAAATATCTCATCCCGTTCCTTTCGATAAGTAGGTGGGCAGAGTACCCAAAGCAAGTTATTGAACCAGTTACTGTTGTAGTTATGTTAGGCAGTACAGATCTCCAATTATGATGGAACAACGAAGGGCTTCGTCCCGGGATAGAACCGGACCAATTGCCAACTTGTAATGACCAGTCGACGGATGGAATTTGAAATTACCACGTAGTCACCTCCGTATTCAGCGAGCAAAATGAGTTAACGACAAGATTTTAAAGTGAAAATGACAAAAAGAGAATAGAAAGCGTTCATAAAGTACAAGCGAAAGTAATTAAAGCGCGGTTAATTTAGCTTCCATACTAATAAATGTTTAATTTTAGGTCGTAAAAGCTGCAATTTCTAAGATGACCCAACGGAGCGTCTCAATTAAAACCCTACTGACAGTCAATTAACCAAGCGATTAATTTAAACGGGCTCTTTGCACGTACGTACAAGTACAAGTTCGTTAGTTTACTTCAATATGTTTGATTTCGAAATATACTATGGCCCAACTTGGTTAGATGAGTTAATAATGTAAGCTTTGTATTTGCAAACATTTCATGTCAAAATCAGAGATATACCTAAAGCTTTCCTCCATAGATTCTGACTAAGAGAGAGGGATCTTGAAGTAAACAAGTGACAATCAAAGGAATCCTGGGTGTGTATAGCGACTTAATGAGACCTGTCAGTTTGTAAGGGATTGATTCGTAAACCCTTGATAGAATGGAGTCAGCGAGAAGTTAGTAATTAACACCGAATGTCCTGGGGACATGTGCTTATTAAGTTATATTAAGTTATTAGCTTAGGTTTAAATCCGTGCAAAAGAAGATCTCTTATTACAAAGAAAACGATATGAAGGTAATATTAATGGGGCAACGAGGATGTACTAATTTGAGTTAAAAGGGGGGTTCCGCCCAAATGTTTTGAGCACACAGTTTCCAGGCCGAAGTTGGCCCAATTTCCACAACGTCGAATTGCCGAGGGGTACCGACCGAACGGAGGTTCGATCGCGCTTAATGTCGAATTTGAAAGCTGTGTCGATCTCGTTTGCATATTTTACGGGTACAATTTTCACCGGATTTTCTCATTACAGCCGCCGAGAAACTCCCGTCTCAAACGGCTACAAACTTCAAGTTTTAATTACATCTACTCGCGCCTAACCCGCGAGAATTGGAAATCTGATACAGGCAATAAGTAGTTGGTGTTTGTGTTCAGTAAATTAATTCAATTCAAAATTATTTAATTAACTATTTTAATAATATAGTAAAACCTCGATATAAAGGACAATATACTAAGTTAGAAAATATTATAGTTTTAATTGTTGTGTATTTTTATTGACCGAAATGTGGAACTAATACTAGATCTAGAACTAGAAATATATTATTATATTATAGGTATAGTGTTAGCTCTAATGCTGGTGTTATTTCTAGTTTTAGTTGTTATTTAGCGTTAGATTGTTGTATGTTAGTTATTGAACTAGAATTAGGACTAACACTAGACTTAGAACTAGAAACATTCGGGTTTAGCCGCACGTCTCTCAAGACGGCTAAACCCGAATGTTTCTAGTTTTAGGTCTGCTAATGTTCTAGTGACAGAGCTAGTGTTAGGTTGTTGCAAATTTTCATCGAACTAAAACTAGAACCAACACTACACCTAGAACTAGATACATTCGGGTTTAGTCGTCTAAACAGACTCACGGATAAAGCCGAAGCTTTCTAGTTTCAGATATAGTGTTAATTCTAATTCTAGTGTTAGTTAATATTCAACGTTTTTTTAAGTGCAAATTAAAAATGTTTCATATAACGAACTTTTGGTTATAACGGACACTCCCTTCCCCATATTAGATTATTAGTCCGTAATATCGAGGTTTTACTGTATTAATTTTCCGAACGACATAACATTCTTTTTAGGTAGATTTTAAGTGGATATTTAAAATTTCTTTAGAAATCTGATAAATGCGTTTGGATATTTCGTTTTGGTGTTCTCCAGACGAGAAAATTATAAGAAAAGAACCGACTGGCTGTGCTTAAGTTTATTCAACGTTGTGCAAATTGTCTTTATCATAAAATTGGAGAGCGAGTATAACTCGGATTTTCTAAAGCTTTTGTTTCTTGGGCGAAATAAAAAACTTGGAGCTGTTTAAAATTAAAAAACGTTCTTCAATTGATGTTTGATTTTCATTTTATTTGCACTCAATTAAATCCAGTACAGCAAATATTGGGTAATTAGGGAAGGTCAATTAAATGTTGGGATATGTTTGCAAATTGATGTTAGGTGTGTATATAATTAGAAAACCGCAGAGGAATTTGTGGATAATTTAGCACTCCACACCGCTAAATGTTTTTTGGAAATTAAATCCCATTAAATCAATGTTATTATTAAATTTGATCCATTTAAATTTTACTTATTATCTTCTAGATTCGAGATTTCCTGGTTGATTTTATGTTTGAGTTTGATACGGTGTGAATCGCGAATATCGATTTGCCATTAGAGGGCGCCCGCGCGCTAAACGCCGTCGTCGTGGCGCGAGGCGTCGGCGCCGCACCACACGGTGGCGGTCCCGCGCATTATTCAACGCCCGGCGCTTTGTCTAACGAGGAATTCATTAAAAACGGATGTAATGACCGGCGAGTGCCCGCACCCGCTAAATATTAACCCCCGTTTCCGGGTTGGATAATTAAGCGTACTGCGTCGCTACCGTTTTGAAAAATGGCGGAGGCGCCGGAAAACCCGGCGCCGCGCGTCGAATTCGAACATGAAAATGCAATTTCCCTCGGCGTACTACTCTATATACACGTGCACGTTGTAAATATATTGCGGTCTCTTCGAGTGCATACACACATATATATAGAAAATAAGGTCAAGTGGAAATGCTGGAATAAATGAAATGTGGGAATGATTTTATTAAAATTTAGTTATTTATATAAGGGGTGATTTATTCTGGAGTTTGGGGAATAAAGTTACTCTACAACGATTGGAATTAATAAGTAATTAAAATTATTTGTATGGTAGTAACTAAAAATATTTATTTATATCTGTAGTTGATTTAGATGTTTTGACTCTTTGTCGTGATTACAGATCGATTTTTTTATAACATCACGTAATTGTTGATATAAATGTCATTAAAGGTGTCTAAATTGCAACTAAAGCTCTCCGTCAGGTTAATAATTCGACTAAGTACCGCACTTGAGTGCTACTCACTTAAGTAGAACTCAACTTCATTATTTCTCAAGATTAATCTATTAAATCTTGAATAACTCAAGTAATGACATCGAGTTTTCACTTATTTTCTGAAAGATCGATGAATCTTTCTTTTTGGGTTCAAATAAGCTCTCGATGATTTAAGGAGCGTTTTTACAAAACAATGTCCACATTTTAAGAAATTGGCTTGTAGATGGTATTACGAGCTATGTCGGCAGTTGAATATTATACATCGTCAAATACAACTCCCGTTATATTGTACACGTCAAATTAATGTTAGTTTCAAGAGCGTAACATGTCCACTGTGTTTACTGAATCAAACTGCAACTTGTCCATATAATATGAGTTTCGGCTGAAGTTACAGCAGAGTTCATGTGCTTGCCACGCTCTTGTTGACAGTTTGTGTTGTTTTTAATCAAACGAGTGATAAGACGACGAATTAGTCATAAGGAACATCGATCTGTGTTACAATAATGGATGGAATATTAGTGAGAGAAGTTTTTGGTGAAAACGGTAACATATTAAAGGAAAAGTGAGGTTAGAAAAGAAGAAAGCAAGGTAAATCTTACTGCTAACATCTTTTTATACGTTTTGATTGTGGATTTCATTTAAGGTACGAACCAAAAGACCTACACTTAGAAAGGTGGATTGACAAAAAGTGTGTACATCCCAATAACAAGAAATTTCAATGTAACGATATTCCAAAATAAATATACATAAACACCAAAAAGACAGTTTATAACGATAACGATGCAGGATGTACGATTATCTGATTTACTAGAAGTGCATTAGCCAAAGAGATATCGTGAACGCAAAAACTCCATTACCAAGAAACCTCACCACTTTCAAATAAGATACAAAGTAAGAAATTATCTTGTTATGCCTATACGCTAGTTTGTTTAACGTTTCTAATCTTGTAGATCTGCACAAACAGACTTCTGCAGGTGCCCTATCGTAGAATCTCATGGATTGCAAGTAGTTATTATAAAGTTAAAAATGAATCATTGTGCGATCTCAAAGTACATAGAGTGAGAGCTGGGCAGTTTCACCTTTACTGCATAACATGATGACGACGATCAGTTATGTCATTGCTTAGAAGAAGATTGTGTAAACTGTTCTGTTTTTCTCAAAAAACACTTCGTGTGACTTGTTGCGTTTTATAAAAAAACCTCATTTGTTCTATATTCTTCTTGATTATCATTTTATAGGCGCTTTACAGACTTTTTGGGATATAGTTTTACTTCTAGTAAGGTTTAAGACATTCAATTAAGCTAATATTAAGGTCATAAATTGTTTGTAACAGACTTTTCTTATGCTTACTGCAAGAAAATTTGATCGGGCAATCCAAACCTTAACGATATTTTCTAGATATTAGTAGATTTTTATGGCATTTCTTACATAAAGCATAGTCTGCATAATTATTGTGCTTTTCTAAAGAAGTACTTAATTTACTTTTCAAGATGATAGTCTGAGTTCCAAAAATGTTTGTTTAAAGTTCATAAACTAGTTATTGGATTTCCTTATTAAGCAGTCTGTAACTTCTAGGAATAGTAATTCCTGCTATATTATCAACATAATATAATATCATAGTTGATTTTATTTTAAAATAGATTATTAATGCATTAATTTGTTTAGAAATAAATAGAAACTGAAGGTATATTAAACTGAGAAAGTTTATATAGTTGAAACTTGCACAAGCTGTGAGGGTGGAGGTATCAATTTTAATGCAACGTAGCAGCTTCGAGTCCCGAATATCGAAAGAGACGGTCGCCTGCCTGCCTTTGTTGTATACGATTATACGTACGGGAGCATTATGCTTTCAGAGTAAACTTTTCACTACGACCTAATGGCGTATTAGGAAGTTGAAAGGCACTTTCGGCACACTATCTTCCGGTGCTAGGGCGTAAACTTTAACTGCGCTCCAAATCCGAAGGAACACGAGCGCTAAATCAGTTCAATCTAGAAACAAATAACTGCTATAAAAAAGATAAAAAAAGGAGAAAGTTAAAGTGAAAGAAAAAAGGATGTTCTCGGGAGAGATAGAAATAAAAAGGGTCGTCGTCGTCTCTTGAAATATATGTGCGCTGAGGGCCACATTTGCGCCGCCAGGGTGCAATTGCAATTAAGGCAAATTGAATTTACTCCTCTCTGCACAAGTGGCCCGCGGAGCGAACAATGGCGCCTGCAAATCCGAGGCGGCACCGCGCCCGGAGATTTTACCTGCGTTGTGACGCTTCGAAGGGCTTCGCGTACTTCAACCGATCGACGCCGCGACGCTTCCCTCTTTGAGTTCCCTTCCTGCTCGCGCAGGAATTCGCAATTGCATTAAACCCGAGTGCCGACGACAGTCGATGGCTACATAGGAACAATTGGAACTCGCCCTAATTGGGCCCAGATGCGGGCCGATTATTGATCAAACCACAACTAATTGTTGTCCATTTCTGCACTTTTGAATCTATCAACGTCGGCATAGTGGTAAAATCGTTTAATTATCAACACAATAGAACATCACGTCAGGAAACATTTAACCATTAACTATTTTCTCCAATTTTTATTTTACTTAAAACTACAGAAATAAAAAAAAAGTTTAATTTTGTACGATTCAATTTTCTTTTCAGCTATAAACGTTGACGTGAAGGAAAGATCGCGATTTCAGTGGCAGGTGTAGAAATAATATTTCCGGTGCAACTTACCGAGTAGACCGAGCCGGAAATTCAGTGTGACCACTATGACGTGACCGTAGGAGGCCAAAACGCTTCCGTCGTACGGATTACCCGATCCCCACTCGAAACTTTCTCCGTGCACGAACACGAGAACGGCGTAGGGAGCTTCCAAACCTCGATTTCCTGAAATAAAAACGATTACGTTCAAATTGTCAAAGAAATTGTAAGATTGAAAATAACATCTATCTAAATTGATCATTAAAAAATACTACCTATTTCTTAAAAAAAAACTCACAACCTCTATTGTAGGTGCACAATTAGGGTCTTTTGCGTCTACAACATTAATCATGGTCATCTAGGACAAGGGTCTTTAGAAATTTACGCGCTCGGCGAGCTGTCTGCGAGGTGCAAGACGTGCGCCCCATTAATAATGTTGGTTCCTTCGTAGAGGTCGGGCGGGCCACGTTCTTGATCCGCCAAGAACAGCGAAACCGACGCGGTTTAATTCGCGGCGAAATACGGTTTCTCGCGATGCCTGGACGCGCGCTTACAACAATGCAATTGCGAGGAGGTTTTCCTCGACCTGTCATCAACGTTTGCTTTATTCTCAAAACCTCCATCTCCAAAACCGTCCTGGTATCGCGTCGCAAACCATAACATACGACGAAATCCTCGTTTATTTATGAACAATGGAATTCATCTCAAAAAGATGTTTTTGTTTTTAACTTCACATTTCAAAAAGAAAATGTGTATTATATTAAGTGATTTATAATTTTCTTCAATTTTCGGTTCATATTTCAATTGTTACGTAAAGAATTATGTTCTTGCATTTCCCTTGTGTGCCGGACCAAGCTGAAGGTTTCGATCGCGTTCTAATAGAATTGCGATAGAATAAAAGTGGGGGCCCCCATCACGGACCGTCGGGGATCCGTGAAGAAGATAGAAAGCGCCTGCCGTTGCTGCTGGGATACCGCTTTGCAGGACTGCACACGTTCGAAAACTTTGTGTACACCTCTGCAGGCGCACTTCCATAAAGGATTACGACCCAGACGCGCCATAAATTATTCCTATGACTCGAGCTACCCCGCAAATCCAACGGGGTTCTCTAGGGAGTTTCAGGGGCGGTGCCTGAGACCCAAATCCGTGGGCGGCGCGGGGTGCAGCTGGGCATACCTCTATGGTTTATTCACGGGCGAAGTTTAAAAATCCATCGACTTACGATGATTAACGATGCGAGAAGGTGGGCTTTTTCAATCTTTTCATTGCAGCGAGAATTTATGTTTTGACAAGATATAGATGAACGGGGTTGTACAGTGTATTAAGGTTATAGGTGAATTGATTACTGCGATTAGACGATGTAAAAAGGAAAGAAATGAATAATTCGTGGATTAAGGTCATATCAATTATATGGTACAATGAATAATCCAACAAATTTACTTAAAACTTTAAGCAAACGAAATACTATATTAATTTTATTAATCGATTTGAAAATATTAGAAAATAACAGAAATGTTTGCAACAAAATACAAACATATTTTGGAGTAAAATATGTGACACACTGCTACTCTAGTGTTAGTTCAGCGTTAGATATACCTAGAGTATACAACAATACCTAGAGATTACTCTAGGTATAGTGTTAGATCTAATGACAGTGCTAGTGTAAAATTAGGCTAAACTCGAATCTGTCTGGCTCTAAGTCTAGTGTTAGTTCTAGTTTTGTACTAGCACTGTTATTAGAATTAATACTAGAACTAGAATCATTCGGATTTAGCCGTCTTGAGAGACGTGCGGCTAAACCCGAATGTTTCTAGTTCTAGATCTAGTGTTAGTTCTAGGTTTACACTAGCACTGTTACTAGAGCTAACACTATATTTGGACCTAGAATCATTCGGATTTAGCCGTCTTGAGAGACGTTCGGCTAAACTCGCATGTTTCAAGTTCTAGATCTAGTGTCAGTTCTAATTTTACACTAACACTGTCACTAGAACTAACAGTATAACTAGAACTTGAATCATTCGGGTTTAGCCGTCTTGAGAGACGTTCGGCTAAACCCGAATGTTCTAAATCTAGTGTCAGTTCTAATTTTACACTAACACTGTCACTAGAACTAACAGTATAACTAGAACTTGAATCATTCGGGTTTAGCCGTCTTGAGAGACGTTCGGCTAAACCCGAATGTTTCAAGTTCGAGTTATACTGTTAGTTCTAGTGACAGTGTTAGTTCTAGTTGTTAATCGGGTCCAGGTTGTTGCAAATTTTTATTGAACCGGTAAAGTAAAAACTATAAGGTTGTAAGAAAATTGGGGTTGAAAGTTAATAAAAAATAATTTCAAATGTTGAGATAATTTGATCAGGGATGCTGTTATGAATAGGGTTATTGAAATAATTTATATATGGAGTAATCCAGACGTTTGAACAAAGGGTTTAGGTGTGAATAAACACAATATGTTTGTTAAATTAGAATCAGTCGAGCTGTAATTGTTTGTAAATATAATGAATACCATTGGGTTCCGAAATATGATACACCTTGTCCATATTATCCATGTTATTTGGTTTCAACACATGTAACGCCACCTATTGAAAGTAAATACATATACAAATAACGACCATTTATTTTTGTAATAACTCTTTTTTCAGTATTTTAAACATAATTTATTAAGGTTTTTAGATTTTTATGGCGAGTCAAAAAGTTTTCCATATAAATCTAGACTATGTCTTGTCAAATTAAGGTCGCAAAATCCGTCTTTTGAAGCATCCCAAGATTAAATAACGGCACCGAATCGATCATTCCTCTCCATTGGCACGTCAAACTGAGTCCACCTATTCCTTTTCACGCATCGTCTACCATCTAATGTTTTTCCTTTCCGTAAAATCGTCGATCCGTGCTAATGTTTGCGAAAATTGCAAGCTTCACATCGTCTTCGTCTCTCACTCGAGATCTCACACTTTGACCGGTTCTTTTTGCGTTCTTTTGACGTACAATTGACGGTCCACGAGAATTTAAGGTCTCCTTCGGCGGTGGTTTTGTGTGTATGTGTGATGTTCGGTTTTGTGAGTTGGTTGGTTTTCTTTTTGATGGCGTTGCCAGTAGAAAATAGGACAAAATGCCGTCGACGAATAGAATCGGTGTCGGGTCCTTTTGTGGCGACGTCTGGAGATCGAAATTAAAACGGGCACACAACAGGGATCGAATTAGATTGGGACGGGGCGGGCACCCCAAGCATTTCAGACGGATTAAACCCTATTGACAATGGATTAATCTTTGTTTCTGTGGTTTCTAGGACAATAGACCACAATCGAAAAAACCGTTACGAGACAATGAACTCACACAAACCGGTCTATCTCAAATTATTTTTAAATCTTCTTTCTATGGATTATTTATTTAATGAGATTATTACTTCTTGGTAATTCTTTTTTTGTGTCCGATTTTAAATTGAAAATTGCTTTTGAAAAACTGAAAAGTAGCAAGCGTGTTTTTATATTTCCATGTTCAATTTCGTGTTGTCAAAATTTTCAGGGCAACAATGTCCCTTTTTTGTAATTTGTCGAACTAGATTCGCGTGGAATTGCGGTTTTTTTAATCCAGTATAAGCTCATCCAAAATGTAGCTGTCAATTTCAACCGTAAATTATGCAAATTCGGTACGTGTCGAGTTTCCAGGTGTTTTTCAGGTCGGTTTCGAGCTGCGAAATGTTTCGACGGTTATACGCATTACAACAACCCGTTGAGTTTTATACAGCTCGCCCTTTCGAAATTAAGCGGAATAATTGCATTGACACCGGTCTGCCGCGATATTATTTATCGCTTTTGCCTTGATTTATCGACATTATAGCTCTCAATACCGAGACCGTTTCGGGTATTATTTATTGACTCGTAATGTGTGCGAACACCAAATTAACGTTATATTGAAATCGGTTTTAAAGTTGCATTCAATTCTGTATATTTCCCTTCGGCTGTAGAGCTAATTGACCGTGTCTATGTTGTATAAACGATTGTTTGTGTACTGCTATATAAATTAATGATATCCCTTTGATGTTTAATCGAAATGTTTGTTTTATAAGATTTTATAATGCACAATTGAAGATAATGTCGTTTTATTAAATAAAACGCTATCAAGTGAAGAGGTCTTCGAAAAAGGAACTCGTTTAATTAATCAGCTATTATTCATTCGAGAAAACGGGGCTTCAGAAACTCAAGTTTTTTAATTGGGCGCTTACGATCTTTTCGAATAAATCACTCGCCCGCGAGGTTTTTATCAAAGAAGAAAGAAACACCTCTAATTACTGAAAATCGTATTTGTAGGGCAATTAAAAATCCAAAGGGATCAAGAAATAAAAATTATAAGGCAGCAATTATGTCTGCCTTCTGTCGCGTATAAAATGCGTTACACGCGTCACCACCTTACCCCCGAGATTAATCGCACCTGTTGCCGTCGAGAGCTTTTCGACTTTGGAGCTTTCGACGAAGCTTTCGACCTTGTCGACGGAGTTGCAACGCATTCCGTAACCGTCCCCAGCGGGGTTGAACGCGATTATGCCCGGGATAATTGCGAGTGTACGCAATTTAGGGCGACAAACATTAACTGGCGCAATTAGGGTCTAACGTAGGCAGAGAGGCGGTCGTATTAACTCGAATTGCCACGCGAATTGCCCGCTGATCGATTTGCATATATGAACGTCGCGACGTCGACGATAATTTCGAGAATGTTCGTTCACGTGCGGTTGAATCCTTAGACAGTATACTCAATGTAAACGTGAAATACAAATTGGTTGATTATATCCAAACCCTATCCTTTAACCAGTTACATCACGTTATGATCAAAATTATTCATTAATCATTAATTCAAATAAGGGCAAGACCTAACGAGGACAATACCTTTGCGGATCACCTGCGTAACATCTTTTCAACCTCACCCAGAATAACCCCAGCATAGAGAACTAAATGAAACTTCACTGGGTGCCTCATATGTAACGTAAAATTGATTAATGTCAGTTACGTCAAAAATTATAAAAAATAACCACCATTTTATTGAAATCAATAAGAAGCTATGTTTACAATTCAACTATTAGATACATCATTAACATTATCGAATCTGTTGAGTTTCTTTTGTAGCTTAGCTTTTATATTAATAGTAATGATTTATCCAAATTCTGGGCTCGATTTTCATTACAAATTTTCGATGGTGGATGATTCTGGATTTCACAGTTGGTCGATCGTTTATAAATCGTTCGTGTTGTTCCTGTATTCTTCGGCTTTTGTCAGTATGTTTATCACAACAATTAGCGCATTTTATGGTATAAAAAATAAAAGCAAACGATTACACTTTATATATTTAGTATTATTAATTTTATCCCTGGCGAATTATACTTGGTTATTTGTAATAACGATTACTGAGTACGTAGATTACGAGGAATTGAGAAAACAAACGAAGCTTTGTATCGAGAAATGGTATAAAAAAAATGATTATCACTTTAAATGGCAAGTGGATGCTATGCATCATCGATATCATTGTTGTGGAGTTGATAGTGCTAATATCACTTATACAGAAAGTAATTTTCCGAAGAGTTGTTGTGACATAAAAGATCCCTGTACTCCATATAGTAAAGGATGTTATGAAGACTTTTATAGAGCAACCAAAACATTTTTATTATCCAATCTAATTATCTTATCGATATTATTAATTGTAAATTACCATGGAATTTACGTTGCAATTAGATATATTATAAAAACTTATTTTAGCCAGCAATACGTAGAAAACGCAGATCAAAGTACAACTGGTTCTAAAGTATAAATGTATTTTATCAAAAAATAGAACATTAAGAGCATTTTTTAATAATTGTCTTTTATTAATAACTTTAAGTGAGAAAAGATTATATTCATTTAAGTGGACTTACAGTTAAAGAGAAAGTAAGTGGGAGGAAAAGTAATCCGAGTAGAATTAATTTTGACTAAGGCCAGACTAAATCATAATTTCGACTACGTAACTTGGCAGACGCGGCCTAAATCTCCGGCTTAATTGCACATCTCCCCCATTATGTCCCCGCTCAGACATCAAACTACTTGATCTCATCTCGACAAAACTAACTTTCGCCCCTATCTGCCGCCGACTGTGTAATAAACTTCCTTGGCATGGGACCTACCCCAGATTGAACAAGACATATACGAATAGTTTTGGCTAATTGCCTCGTGAATTTATCGCAGACGTTTTCGTTTGTCTCTTCCTATTTGTATCATTCTACAATCCAAACACAAATCGTCCCTACACCGAAGAAATACCATAAAAAGAAAGAATCGGGTTGTAGCGACACATTACAACTTGAATCACCTTTAAAAAATAAGAAGACCAATAAAAGATCGTCGTACACTTCCGGGCGAGTCTTGCCGTTCATTAACTGCACGCAAAGTTAAATTGGTTTATGCATAAGTTCGCCGGTGGAAAACTTCAAAGATTTAATGAGAAAGTCAGTTTCAAACGTCCGGAAGACCGCTCCATCTTGAGCAATGTAATTAGGTTATCTTGAGGGTCTTTAAAAAGAAACACCTTCAAGTACGAAAAATGATCGTTTGCACTCTATATTATTTTTATCTATTAAGATATTATTAGAATCTATCAGATTCGGCATTTTTGTCATATCGGAAGACCAATAAGTGGGTTGTCGGGTGGATAATACCCATAACTTATCTTCTTCAAAAGCTTTTTACAGGTTTATTCCTCTCATGATCACCAATGGAGATATTTAGCATTATGATTGCCTGCAGCTATAGATTGGTAACATGTTGCAAAATATTCTCTAAAATGTGCTTTCTTTATCGATTTATTTGGAGGACTTCGACTTCAACCGACGTTGCTTTTAATAATGCTACTTAATTTGCTTAATTCATGGTGTTTTAAAGAACCCAGGGTGTGCATTTTGGAATTCTTTTGTTGCTGGTTTAATTCTGCGTCTTTTGGGATATTAGCGCTTGTAATTTTTGGGCTTAACTACATTGTTGCGTATTGACGACTAGTGCAGACTTATTCTTTGGCTCTTTGGGAATATTTACATGTTTATTGCGTAGAGACGGGAAAAGTTTCTTTACAAGGAAGCCTTTGTAGTTAACCGGATGATTTTCAACGCATTTGACATAATCACTTCGTTTTTGGACATACTTTAGACATGCCTGAATGTTTCTTAACTGCATTTTTATTGGTCTCTATCCGCAATGTTGCAGCGATACCAGACTGCTCACTCGATCTTACTTTGACAACGACGAGCAAGTTTTTAAATGCTTTTTACTGAAATTGTCAAAATAACTCTATCATATCACATCTATTGATTTTTCATAACAAATTAAGGCAAAACATTAGTCAAAAATTGCCGATTACGTTGCATATCATTATTGACTAGCCGGTTACTGGTCGATTGGATGAAGATATTCAAAAATTTATGAATTATAGAATGCGCATGTCGCCGTGCTTATATTTTTGTTCTGTTCAGTCTTCACTTCCATAATTCTGTTGAGTTTATTGTCAACAATATGGTAAATAATTTGACGATTTGGTGTGGAGAAACACTAAAGCGGTCTGCATATGGAGCTACTAAAAAGGAACCAAACTGGTTGGAACTCGGGTCACTAATCTGTAGTTTGCTCAGTTTAGTCATGGATGCAGAACCGTCAACAATAGTTGTTTTGTTAATTGCAGAAGATAGTTACACCAACGACGAAACCATCATGATATATTATATTAGACGGAGAAGAATGAACAGAAGAAGGTTCTAGGTCCTCCTATACCTTGAGAGGAATTTTCACAACCGTTTGCTTGTTGGTACAAAAGAACTCGAAATTTCAGATGGAAAGTTTGTAGAATTCATCATCTTATCAGCTTTCTTATTAATTTCATATTTATTCAAATATCGCAATAATGTGGCATCACTTCAGAAATGCACCAGAAATTATAACCATAATGGTCGGAAGATATGCCGGATAACCGGATATCCGGCCGAAGGGGATGCCGAATATCCAATATATAGAATTAAATATATTATAATACGGCACTATATTACACTAAGTTACAAAACATTTAATTTCACATAAAAATGATATATGCGAATGATATCTGATTTGGTGAGAATTAATTATTTAAAAAAATAGTCACGTTTCAAGAGTAATGGATCGTCATCGCACGCAGATCACGTACTGTCGAAGTGCATAGCGGGAAAATCTGCAGGAACTTACGCGATTTTTGTCTCCCGGCTTGGGGTCTCACTTTACTATTCAGTCCTTCTACGAAAGTCGTTAATTTTGTCTCTAAAAGCGAAGAGGCAGACGGAAAAGCGGGGAAGACTACTTAACTTTTACCAAGATGGCTTTAGTTTTTAGACGTGTCATTCGTCTTGTTTCGGTGATTTCTACATCTCTCTTTGTTTATTTACTTGTGTTGTGAAAATTTTAAAAAAAAATAAAATAAAAAGTTTTTTGTTGGCAAAGAAAATAGTTTTCGAATTCGTCACTGAACTGATACAGTGGTGATATTGTGATATGGGAAAAAAATGTTTGGATGTTCAGTTTCGACCGCGCGGTTGTTTATCATTGAAAAAAAACAGAAAACTGGGTATCAATCGACGGACATAATAGCAACGTTTTGTCTCTTTCGCTGTTGTTATTTCGGTTCGACGGCTTTTGTGTTTTGTGTTAGTGCAACAGATCAACGGAAAACGCGCAGTCCGATGAACGATGCAATTTAAATTCGATAAATTGTACGATTCAGTTTATTTTCCTGTTGGTGTAGATTTGTAAGCAAAAATATAAATTGGTAAATCTAAATGCAAATTTATATTTCCGGCAGCTGTTAACTCCGGGTTTTCTCCGCGGAAATGATGTTTTAATATGAAGAGGCGGGCGCACGAAACTTTCCTTAACTAAAACTTTTATCCATCCGTTTGAATTTACAAAACGGTCAAGCAAAAATTTGAGGTATAAAGATCACTTCATTGCGGCTCGCTTTCTTATACATTATTAAGAGTATAAATCACTTAAAATTTTCGTAACAACCATTAGGAGCTTGTCCAAGAAACGGAGAACCATTTATCAAAAACAAATTAGAATGTCGACTGGGTACGACGCAAGAGGCAATTTCATTTTTCATTACAAATTAAATTTAATTTACTATTGAGAAGCACACTTTTAAAATTTCAAAATTTAAAATAACTTCTTTTATAACGTGGGTGGTTAGAGGAGGTAAAGAAGAAAGTTAGATAGATAACCGGGTACAATCGCTCGGATAAAGTAAATTTGTGACTGTAGTAAACTACGGGCGTGATAACGATCTTAGAAACTATTTCAATTACGGGGCTCTGTATACGGTTCATCTACGATTCCTTTTTGGCATGTTTATGTAAACCGAAACCCGAGCGAATCCGGAACGAATTTATGCTGATGGAGGTTTTACGGAAACGTTGCAACGATTATTACTAAAACGGAAATCGATTTAGTTACACTTTAAACCCGTTTTTTTTTATGAATTTTTAAAATTTTATTATAAATTCGAGGAGATTTTATGTAGTAAAAGTTTTTGAGTTATAAAAATCATTATTAAACCGAAAATCGATCGAAAAATTAAAGTAGTGAACGTAAACTTTCCGTTGGATTACTTTGTGGGCACAAATAAACATGAGGCACTATGCGTTAATCCCTACTTTACTACGCAAACACTTTCAGGGATTCCTATAAAATTCTTTTTGGATTACCGAGTAAGAGTTTTATTAATGGACTAACTCTCTCGTACTAAAATCAAAAAAAAAAATTGCTTTGATGTATTAATTTGCATATTTTAACATGCATGCTTTTATGAGTTTCACTTAGCGTCATCCCCGATGCATTACTAGTTTTTATCACAGGGATATTAATTTAATGGGTAATATCTGAACAAATTTTTATTAAAAAAAAATGTACTCACCACTTCCCGGTACGTAAATATTTAAAAATAAGCAATCCTCTGATTGATTGACTAATAAAGGAACGAGTTTTTTCAAGTAATGAAATCGTCCTTTGGGCATGTGTAGTAAAGCAGCGGTTTTGTTGGTGATATCGGGAAATTTCTGAGGACAAACGGCACCGAAGGTGTCGGCCAATCTGGTACCGTCCCAGGATAAAGGAGGCCTTGGAGGGCTATATCGTAAAGGTCCAAGAGGTGGTGCTGCGTACGGTACTCCCCGGAACACTTCCACCGGTTCCAAGTGTCTCGAGTTCAACTCGAGTATTATACCACGAATATCACCTAAAAAACGACAATCAAAAAAGAAGAAAATCAAAAATTTTATTTTACCTGTTTCCACTTGAACAATTCTTGAACTATATCGAGGTCCTCCAATTACTGAGATTATGAATAACGTGGTGAACAATAGCAAAATCGAAAGTCTACCATCGCAGACATGTCTCGGAGGCATGATAAGAATGGCTGAGATGGTGGTGCATTACTCGGCCTATTACTGGCTACCTCTTTTATTGATTTAATTGATCACCTAAAAAATAATTTTCAAAATAAATATACTCAATAAACATACATTACTTTAAAGTTTTGATAACGATCTTTATGTTTAAACCAAGCTCAAGGTTGCAATTAAGGTAACGAAGACTCCGAGTGGATTAATGAACGCGCTGTAAAATTTTCGTAAGCGTAAGTAGATTAATTCCAATTAGGGAAGTTTCCGGAGTCGCAAATGACTTGAAGAATCCGGTAAACTTCTTCTTCTCCTCTCGGGAAAACGTTCGAATTTTCGAGCTGTTTCCATGTTGGAGAAAGTATGAGTTGACGGTTTTGATATCGTTTACAGGGGAGGAACGAGGGTGGCGGCTACGGGGAGGTCGTAAACGTAAACGCTAATTGCTAAGTCGGAATCGTCAACTCGGATGAATAGTGGTATTTTGTTGGCGCGTTTTGTAGGAGTAATGCAAGGTCGATTTTTCCGTGCCCAAAGGCAATAAACGTTCTTTTATGACTCGGTATGACCAATAAAAACCAATATCGCTTTGGTAATAAAAGTGCTAGACCGTAAACTTGGACACATCCAAACCGGAAGTGGATTAATTTAATACAAAAAATTTTTAGAAAATTGTGCGATTTATTATCGTCTGTCATAAAGATTTTTGTTATTTTCAAATATTCTTCTGCAAAATTAGGTAATATAATCAAAAACTCAACTTTAAACAATTTTAAAACTCGATTAGCATTTTTGATTAAAATAATTAAAATAAAAAAAAGAAAACAGTTATAACATTGTATTGGATATTGAATAAGTAATAATTACTTTATATTGATTAGTAGATACTCGTTAGAGTCTAATATCCACTAATGATAATCATATCATGGCATAATCAATCTGGCATCATCTTTTTAAGTTAATTTTCGGGTAATTGATGGTGTACGTGTACTAATTTTGTCAATTTTAACAGGGTTCAATTAAAATGCGAGATAATTGAGTATATCATGAGTGTATTAGCTCGATTCACGCTTATGTACAACGAGAACAACGTCTATAACTTTTATTGGGACTGCATTCCTCTCTGGTGAAATCTGTTTTACTATTTGGCCATACGTTTTTGAATCGCCATTACCAATATAATTTATATAGTTCTTTTTATGCAATTCTTCAGCTCTTGAAAAAAATTTTATCATTGCCGGGTTCCATTTTATCTGTCAAAATTGCTGCACATCTGGGCACAATATTATTCAATGATGGACATGTCGCTCTGCTGGGTGTCTTAGATCAATTGGGAGTGGAGATTGGCCAAACTGTTTATGATTACTGCCAAGAAAGCCGAACAACAGCCGCGACGAAATACTTGTCAAGGTCGTATGCGTGACCGTTGTGACCAGTTATGACGATCAAAATATAATTATAGACGTTGAGGAACTTCTATATGGCCCAGGGATTGCTGAATAGCAATAAGTGAATCTATTTTTCATTGTAAATTATACGTTATTTAAAATAACTTTAAATACGTTTTTCTTTAAACACCTTTTTTCGACCTTGTTGACAGTTAATCAAAAAATCTAACCATTAAATTGATATGAACAAAGTTTCATTTTGTAGAAAAACCGTTTGTCTTCAACTGTACGTAGCCGTTTTTCATTTGATCAAGCAGATCTATACTTATTTCTTTTTTTTTTGTATATCGAAATTTGCAAAATTTTACACAATACTTAATTTGTCAATAATTTCTTTATTTTTGAAAATTTTTGAATTTCCCTACGTACAGTTGTAGGTAATTATATTTGCCATTAAATCATTCTTGGGTTTTCGGTTTTACATGAATCAGTCGACCAATTTGCTGTCAACCAAGGACGCCATGATTTTTTTTGAAGACGACCATTTTGAAGTATTGTATATTGTATATCGAAGATTATAAATGTTTTTTTTTATTTTTGCACTCTTCGACAATCATTCTTCATATGTAATATAACAGATATTTGTTATATCAAGTTGTTTTTCTTTAAAAAAATCCATAAGAAACTATATTTTTTAGTCCGTTACAGTTCTACCCCCTTAACTTTTTTTGTTAACCGAAACCGTCTAAAAAAATCCGTTTCATCCCACTGCGCCATGTGGTTACGTCGTTCTTTAATTTCTTTTTCTTTCCTTTTACTTAAAAACTTTAACTAATACTATAATATATAATAACTAGTATCATACAAATTAAACATTTTTCCATATTTTTCAAAATGCTAATTGCACAATTTACAAAGAAAAACGTTAGCGATACCAATCTACGGCACAAATTACTAGATATGGGGAAAAAGTACTACCAACCGAGTCTTATTTACCAGATAGCAATCCTCCCGACAAAAACAGTTTGTACAACAGCGAATATTTTTATCCTCCCGATAAGTTTATCGGCCGGAAGTTATCAGACAGACTTATCGGTATATTGTACAACCGGCCCTAAGTGAATTTTCGTTGCGTAGATAAAGCTTAGATCGCACAAACACCGAGTACCGAAGAAAAATGTAGACGAACGGATGCAAGCTTCATCTGTAATTGTAACATTTTTTTGGAAACTTGGAACTTGGAACGACGTACTCCAATAGTGGTGATGAATATCCAACATGATATTCAACATGATGAAAAACAAAGATGCAATAGATAACAGATCTATAAGAATTCAAACGGTTTCTTCTGTCTTCTCTTTGATATGAGACATTGGACTGTCAGTAAAATTCGGAACTCATTGCCGATAACAAACTTCATCTATTAAAAGAGTCAAGAGAAAAAAACTCTGTTTTTCGTAGAATTCTCAATTTTTATTTCGTAAGTTCGTGAATAGCTGCAGTAATCTTTATTGGGCAGACAACAACCTTAATAAAGTCCATGATCATCTTTTACACGCCAGTAAGTGATCTATATGGTGTGGAGTTTCGAAATAAGGTGTCATCAGACCTTATTTTATCACAAAACAGAGAAAGAATGTTGCAATATTTTCTATTATTTACAATTACCACCAATATTGCAACAAAAGTCAACGAATCACTTTTTGAATCAAAATTTTGTAGTAAACTTGATTTGTTATTTGTTAGTTTTATTTTAAATTAATTCTATGAAATTCAACAAGGTTTTCAGCAAAGCTAATTTTATTATACTTCAATTTTATATTTATTTTTATTTAATTCTATACATTCCAAACAAAATGGGATTTCAAAAAACGATCATTCAACTTTCATTAAAATGTAAACATTTTCTTTTACAAGATGTGAAAATTTCATAGAAATGAATTTTTAATTTTTATTTTAACTAAAATAATAAAAGTTTCAAAACATTTCAAAAATTCATATCTTTGTTATAATACGAAATTTTCATTAAATAGCAAACAATTTACTTTGTGATTTGATTCAAAAAATGATCTTAATAATTTTTGTAATTAAAAGGAATACAATGTTATTATTACACACATTATTATTCAAGTCATCACCTATCGTACCTGTCACTTATTCAAGTGTACTGCAAACATTGTGCATAATAGTACAACCCAGAGCGACCTATTTGATGGTAATTGACATGTTAAATGCTGAATATCAAACACGAGAATTACTAAATTAGTTGATTATATTAGCGTGTATTAACAGGTATAATTGCGTTTGACTATGTAGTTTCGGTTTGTATGCAAAAATATGCTGTTAATTATAGCGATTGTTAATGAAGTACCTCCGAATGAATTCATTATCGAAGTTGTTTTTCAAAAAATGTTAAATGATTTCAGCTTGTCCGAAAATCCGCGTATTGACAGTGTAAGCTTGTACGGGATTTGTTTAGCGTTTCATGGGAAAATCACGTAGTAAATACACTGAGCTTGACATAACGATGTCACGTAAATAACAACAACACAACCAAATTTAATTACATTCAAAAGTATTTATACCCTATTTTTTATTGTTCTTCTTAAACGCTTATTCGAAAAGTTCTATTAGACGATTTCCTATTAAAGTGATGAAGTAAATGGCGTTTTCAAACACCTAAAACTATTCGCGATGTGGCCGAGTTTCCACTTTAGCTGTTGACGTCCGATAGGGCAGCGTTAATTCCAGAATGTCGGCAATAAACTCCAAGAATTTTCTTTTCTTGGTGACAAGAAGAGATGCCGAACCTCGCCATTCGCGGCGTCTCTGATTTCATCGATGCCATCAACTTTTCCCAAAGCATCGTAATTCCAATTCCAGAAGCAATTTTAGGATCTAAAAACAAAAAAAAATACGATCTTAATCTTAATTAGATTTAATGGATCTTTTTTAATTTAATGGCTAATAAAAATAAAAGAACTTTAAGGAATTCTCTTGTTAAATCAGTGAACGTTAAAAACGATTAACTTGAACGTGACCGTTAAAAACAACGTTGATTTTTTTCTAACTTTGCGGCATAAAATGTTATTCGGATTCAATTAGGTCAATTTGGGAGTTTTTGCGTTTTACAGCAGCTTTTTTATGCCTGGTTTCGCAACGGTTGGCATCTCGAAAGCTCACGCTCACTCTACTTTAAATAGATTATTTTATAAAATTTTACGAAATTAATGTAATTTTAGGGCAAAGTTAAACGTTTTAATTAAAATCTAATAATTAATAACTTGTGACGTGCTTTTAAACACGTTCACCAGATTAGTTCGTTTCTACTTAAAATTTCAAGCAAAAGGAGTTATAGAACAACTCGACGAAGAGGAGATGACGTCGTTCAAATAACAGGACCGTCTTAAGTATAGCAATAAAAAGGGTCCGTGTTGACTTTGCAACGTTAGACTTACGTACTCTTTGGCTAGTTAAAAGCGCCGACACTTAATAGAACCCTTTGAGAAGAACGACGCAAAACTTTACCAACGATCTCGAACAGCAAACACAAAACTAGAGACGGTTTAAAATTTTAATTTAAAGGAAATTCTAAGAAAATATCTTAACTATATAAAATTTTTAGATATTTATTAAGGAAATAATTCGTGGTTTGAAATTTTGGAACCCCATATTCAGCAGATGGTGGCTTGCCGTACGAACTTAACTGAACACGTTTGGAGAACCGACGTTAAGCGTATTAAGGTGTGCAGCCACGTAAATTATCCGCTCATTAGCTACCGGCAAACGCTGGTTTTCCAGATGCGAATAATCCAAAATTAACCTGGCAACGAGAATCGTCTTCTGCAAAGGAGAGAAACCTCGAAATTTCTAACTTTGCTGATGTTGAATTTACTTCAGATGAACAAGCATCTTTAGATCAGAAATCGAGTTCAATTCACGATAAATCGCGTCTATGTCTTCATAGTTGAGTGAGTTTTCTAATAATAGGAGAAGGTATTTCGAGTATTTCAATTTAATTAAAAGAGAAAAATCTATTTATAACATAAATAGGAATCTGTATTAATCACATAATGGCTATTGTATTAAATAAACCAACTGTACAATTTATGAAGTAAATAAATAAATATTTGCTAGTCATTCAAATTAAAACACCTCTCTTACACTGTAATAAACGTTGCACGGTTTAATCGAAAAGTAAACAATATCGGATTGTGCACGTCATCAATTTCGCGTAAAACGCTTTGTTAATAGCCGCAAAATTTGCCGAATAAAACAATCCGAAATAACTTACTTCACAAAACTTAATAAAGTTTTGCTAATTAAATTTGTCGGTGCCGGTGGATCTGTTAATTCTCTCGATTTAAAAAAGGACTCCTCCCGAAGAAACCAATTAAACGACGCCATTTTCGCCGTTCAGCTCTTGACCGACCACAGCGACTGAGTTTCGTATTTGTTTTGCGCACCGCGTTTAATAACGGGGATATTGGCAATTTTAATTAAAATTCATTTCGATTCCGATTACTACCACTGCGACCGAGGATTCCCATTAATTGAAAATTTCTGTGGTAATCAAAACAAATGATTACGTTTATCATCTGTGACAGATTCAAGTTTCAAAGATATTTTTCTATACGGTTAAGTACTTATAGCTTTAGGTGAGATAGCAGACGGATAAAGAAATCCAATAACACAATTTAAACAATTAATTCATTTTCAGCCATTACTTAATGAAAAATAACCACTCAGCAAAGGCACGATATGAAAACAGTTTACAATTTATTATCGTTGATATGACGAAGGTTTCGATAAAGTATGCCTAGAAGACATCAAACAAGTAATCCAAATCCTAATCCTAAATATTATGCTAATGATTAAGCAGGATTAGGCAATGGAACTGCTTAACCCTATTCCTGTTTAATCTGATATTGAACAAAATTATACAGTAGATGTCGTCGTTGAATTTGGGCTACAGAATGAGCAAGAATATAGAACATAGACGCTGCAGCAATTATGAGAGAAACGGATAATAGTCAGCAAAGATAGCTCTTTAGATTCTTTCTCGATAAAACAAAAGTCATGACAATAAGTAAAGAGTTAAGAAACCAGACCAATAAAGTGACATTTCTAGTCACTATGTTTAAAAGAGATCGTTTAGTCAAATCAATACATGCGAAATTACATCAGGATAACAATTTATAAAACTTGCATAAGGCCCATCATGACATAAGGAATAGAGTTAAGTGAAGATACGAACAAATTAAGAGTATCACTAAAAGATACCGAATTAAAAAATATAGACATCATAAAAGGACGTAGTATATTAGATATGGTAAGATACTATATCAACTTAAAGTGTACATCACAAAACCCACTTCGAGTAGGAATTTAGACCAACAGATCTAAAACAAGAAGAAGTTATATATCAGATTTTGGCATGATGAGTACTATGTTGAATCAAAGAAGGAAAGTTTTTACACACTGGATCAAAAAGGTTTCCATACAAGCCACAGCACTTTTAAATTATACTTCTAACTTACCTAATATGATGTGGGCAAAAATGTTATTGCAGCCAATGCTATAATAACCAAGGAAGTAAATGAGGTTCATATCTGGTGATTGTGAAGGTGTATGAAGTGAATAACGATAAATACAATAAAATATGTGTGATGTAAAGACAATTTAAACGAGGATGTCTGAAAGTTGGATCCTACTTCTTGAAATTTATTATAACCCTTAGGTTCACACATTTTACCTTCGGGCCATTCTTATATTGAGTACAATCAAAATATAGGACCTTCAAAAGAAGAAAACTTTAAATCTGAATGGAGCACAATTTATGTCTCCTTGCAGTAAATTTATGATGTTGATCATGCTACATGAAGATTTAGTGAAAAATTATCTGTATTGCATGAAGAAACAAATTTGGCCTATTTCAACATCATTTGGCCATGAGCTATAACCAGTTATTCATGCTCAGTTAAAATGCCGATTATTTTCGTTGACTGATCTAAGAGTAGTAAAGTTGCAGGAGAATTTTGGTAACATTACTATCTTCAATAACAGCAAGGAGGCTATGTTAACATTTGTGTAGCTACAAAGAGAGTCAAGTGGAAGAAAATGAAACCCAAAGAAAGTGGCATAAAATACACTAAACTGTCTTCTTGTTCTCTAAACTTACTTTCTCGTGATATGTCTCATTCCACAAGAGTTGCTGTCAATACATTTCTTAGAATTCTCAAACGATATACTAGTAGTAGGCTAAGTGATAAACATTACTGGAGTTCATCGATACTTTCAAAATTCCATTTGAGGTTGTTTAATTAGAATTAACTTATCACAAAATACTATAAGAAAATAATGCTAATATAAATTTCAATACAAAGAAATTAAAACAACCATTAAGTGTATTATAATTTATAATGAAAATATGATAAAATGACAAAATAATAAGTAAATACGAAATAATGATACGCAACAGGAACGTGAGTTTGTTTGAGGTTGTCACAAGAAGATGGATAGCAGTTTCTCGAAGACAAGAAATGAAGTTTTTCAGAACAGTTTGCGGGTGGTGCTTTCGTAAGAAGTGTCGGCGGTCCTTCCGGCTCTCTATTTTGCATTATTCTCGAATCGGAGCACCAGGGAGGAATTGATACTGGCACGACGTTGATCGATGGACTAGAAATTCGACGAGAAAGTCGGATTCTCGAAGATAATCTCGCCAGCGCCAAACTCGGACAGGAAAGAGATAAATATTTTCGGGAATTTTAAATTTGCCTACGAACCGTCGAAAGCTGACCCTCTTTCGTAATGGGGTACAAAATGCAAATGAAACACGGTCCCTCGTTAACCTAACGACAACGAGCTCATGTTTACAAATCTTACTAACTTGAATTACAATTTTTTTAAAGTCGTTAGATAATCTTGTAGGCGTATAAATTGATGAAGTTGCATATACACACAGATAATCATTAAAAATGTAATAAAAAAAACATTGTAACCGACAAGAATGAAAAGTTTAGGAAAGTTTTAAGGCATTAGATTCACAATTTCCCCGCAGAGTACTAAACACAAAGCTACCCCTTTTCGTTTTATAACACCGTGACGAAGTAAAATTGTTTCGTTTTATGTTCAAAGCGAATTGGATTGCCTTACATAAGGGTCGTCGAATCAACGATTTATTACCCACCCTTAACACCCAAAACTAATACTTTCGTGAATATCCTCTATTTCCACTCGGTATCGATAGTTGTAGAACGATTTTCACCTAGTATTTTAAATAATTTGCGGTTAAATAACCACTAATCGAAAATTTACAATCTCGTTGTGGAGGGAAATATAACCACTAAACTAAAAGCGGTTTTGACTACATTTGAAACTAAATAGCGTATGCATGAAATCGATATTTAACAGAAATATTTTAAATTCAGTGTAAAGTGATCTTGTTGTAGCGCGATGATGAGAATAAATGGCGTGACCGGTTGACAAAAACGGATTTACTAGCCATTAAAATGCACTTTTTTTTGTCAATTGTATTTGTTCATCCACTCAAAACAATTTTACCCGTAAATACCACGTATTCCGCGTTTAATTTGTGTACAAATTGAGTTTTTAATATTTTCCAATGTGATCATGTTTTGCTTTTCATTAAATTTATGCACGATTAAATGAATTCGATTTTTTAAGATTTTTTGTTGAGTACTTTTAAAATAGGATTTTTTAAAATTCAAAAGAAGAAAAATCGTATTGTCAAGTGGAAAAGCTCGATGCAGTTGGACGACCGTTTACGTTTTACGTTCACACTGCGAGAGATATATCGGTGCAGTAAATTCCCTTTTAAAGTTTGAAATCCCCCTGCCAAGAGAAGTAGCTAGATTGCCGGGGGGGCTTGAATATCC